GATAATGTCACAATGATGCAAAAAGGAAAAGCTTTGTAGCGATAATCGAATATGAATTTTGTTCTGTTTTAAGCAGCAGCGTTCCGCTCAAGTCCTTTGTGTGTTTTTGCCATGTGATGTAAGCACTGACAACAAACAACACCCCCCCACCCCACCCCAATCTCATGCATATCTTTTACATCATTAATCTCACTCTTGAATTGCTTAAATGGCACTATTTTGGGGGGCAAAGATTATTAGTAAAAGCCCAAACTTCACATCTTATCTTGTTTTGGTTTGAGATAATTGATTACATCTATCAAATAAAAAAAAAAATGCAATTGTCTTTCCTGCTATATTTGTTCTGTATCAGTTGGCAGTGCTGGGAAAGAACAGTTGTATACATACAGTTGTATCCATACATCAATCATAAATGCATATATTATATGCATTTATGATTGATGTATGTATACAACTGTTGGCTAGTTGATACAAAGTGAGACCTACAATATGTGCATATAGAAAGTGATAGGTGTGATAATCGTGATAGCCAATAGTGTATATTGTTTTTAACCATGTCACAGACTATAGAATAAATATTCATCCACAGAGGGAGTGTATCTCAGTCCATGTCGGCCAGGCCGGAGTCCAGATTGGAAATGCATGCTGGGAGTTGTACTGTCTGGAGCACGGCATCCAGCCCGACGGTCAGATGCCCTCAGACAAGACCATCGGGGGTGGGGACGACTCCTTCAACACCTTCTTCAGCGAGACTGGAGCAGGGAAACACGTCCCCAGGGCTGTCTTTGTTGACCTGGAACCTACTGTAGTTGGTGAGTGTTTTCCTGTACCAGGAACATGCATTGAGGCCAGTGTGTGGATTGTAAAGTACCGAAGTTCAAAGAGGACCACCACTGAACTGGCCTTTGTTTTGTTTTTTTAAATATATTTTTATGTACAGTAATTTGGCGATGTTTAGTTTCATTTTGTCTCTCTGGTTGAACTGTTCACTCTAACACCTGACTCCCAAAGTTGAGTCATGTCAACATTACTAGTATTCTTTTAAGACAAACACATAAAAAGACACCATTTTTTGTGGTTCAGTTATGTATTTTGGCTTAATCCATTGTCATTGTAGTTTGTTGGATAATTATGCAAAGCAATGTGATTGAGGGCTGCATCTCAGCATGGAATTATTTTAACCACTACTTTGCAACATTTCATGTCATAATTTATTTTTTGATTCTTTTTTTGATACTTCAGTACAGACTATAACCCAGATAAATCAATGGGGTCCCAGTGAAACTTTGTTTTGAATTAGTACGGAGTGGGAAGGAAGTAGTTATAGTTTGAATTTCTCAGTGCTGGCATTGAAGTCACTAAAACTAGCCCCGCTGAGAAACTCGAATCCTGTTTTGCCATGCTGTGATCATCCTTGACGCCTGGGATGGGGACCGCGTGTGTTGACATCACCATATCCTAACGGCCTCGGCTCATTAAGGACTAGTGTTTGTTACGCAAAATAATTCACTTTTAAGGACATTGAATCCATCTGTCTTTGGTTCAGTGATTCTGTTTGACATGGGTTTGTGACTAGGACCTCATGACTTCCATGCTGAAGACAATGCTTAGTCCCTGTTGTTGAATTAGCTATTAAGTGTAATGCAAATACTGTTTAGATTGTCTGCTAATCCATATTGCTCTTTGTTTCAGATGAGGTTCGCACAGGAACTTACCGCCAGTTGTTCCACCCTGAGCAGCTGATTACAGGAAAAGAAGATGCTGCAAACAACTACGCTCGCGGTCACTACACCATCGGTAAGGAGATTGTCGACCTCGTCCTTGACCGTATCAGGAAGTTGGCTGACCAATGCACTGGGCTCCAGGGCTTCCTCATCTTCCACAGCTTCGGTGGCGGTACTGGCTCCGGCTTCACTTCTCTGTTGATGGAGAGACTGTCTGTGGACTATGGCAAGAAATCCAAGCTTGAGTTCGCCGTCTACCCAGCTCCTCAGGTTGCCACTGCTGTCGTAGAGCCCTACAACTCAATTCTCACCACCCACACCACCCTGGAGCACTCAGACTGTGCCTTCATGGTTGACAATGAGGCCATCTACGACATCTGCAGACGCAACCTTGATATTGAACGACCAACCTACACCAACTTGAACCGTCTGATTGGGCAGATTGTCAGCTCCATCACCGCCTCTCTCCGTTTCGATGGTGCCCTGAACGTGGATCTGACGGAGTTCCAGACGAACTTGGTGCCCTACCCACGTATCCATTTCCCTCTGGCTACCTATGCCCCAGTTATCTCTGCGGAGAAGGCCTACCATGAGCAGCTGTCTGTTGCCGAGGTGACCAATGCATGCTTTGAGCCTGCCAATCAGCTGGTCAAGTGTGACCCCCCGACATGGCAAGTACATGGCCTGCTGTATGCTGTACCGTGGTGATGTTGTCCCCAAGGACGTCAATGCTGCCATCGCCACCATCAAGACAAAGAGAACCATCCAGTTCGTTGACTGGTGTCCAACTGGATTCAAGGTCGGCATCAACTACCAGCCACCCACTGTTGTCCCTGGGGGTGACCTGGCCAAGGTCCAGAGAGCTGTCTGTATGTTGAGCAACACTACTGCCATCGCTGAGGCCTGGGCTCGTCTTGACCACAAGTTCGATCTGATGTACGCCAAGCGTGCCTTCGTCCACTGGTACGTGGGTGAGGGTATGGAGGAGGGAGAGTTCTCAGAGGCCCGTGAGGACTTGGCTGCCCTGGAGAAAGACTACGAGGAGGTTGGAGTCGACTCAGTTGAAGCCGAGGGAGAAGAGGAGGGAGAGGAATACTAAACAGCATTAATCGACCAACTTACAGTCCTGGCTACAAAATGTGCAATCAAAACATGTGAAATTAAAATGCATTCATGACCAAACCAACATTAAAGCATTTCAAGAAAATAATTTCTTCTGTGGTTTATAACCAGGATATTTAAGGATGGAGTGAGGTGAATGCCTTTTTAGTCCCTCTTGGCAATATTGTCCGTCCCTGATGGATAGTTATTGAACATGGGTAATTGTTGTTTACTGCTGGTGCAAGAGGTGTTGTAGTCAAGTGGTTAAAGCGCCAGCTCTCCTCGCATAAGAAGTTACTGCGGTTAAAGGGAGATAACCCTATCCATTCTGTACGGACGACTATTGATTGACCACTGTTTAACAACCCCCCAGGTTTAATTCCCCACAAGCGCGCGCGCACACAATATGGTTATTAAACGCGCATATAATTTTTATGAAACTAATTCGAGATGAAACGTATATAAAAGTATTCTCATAAGAACTTCGTTGTCAGTATGACGTGAGCATAGGCGGGTCCAGAGGGGGTGCCCATCCCCCTGTTGTCCTGAAAGTTTCTTAAATGACTATTGAAACTCGTGCTCCCCACCCCCTTTCTCAAAAAGCTGTATCCGCCCCTGGTAAGTAATTTCATAATTTCCTTTATTACATTGACATGGTCCTTTCGAATACATGACAAACACGTTCATATTTAAAAAAAATATACCCCGAAAGAGTCAATTTACGTTTATATCATAGCATGTTTTTTTGTGAATCCCCATCAAATGATACCGGATATTCGCGTCAAGGTGCCCGTTCCACCGGCGGTTCATGTCATTACACACTCGAAGGCAGGTGAATATTAAGGGCTCGATACAGCTTTTTGAGAAGGGGTACATTTTCACCCGTTCTCGCAAGAGTTTCAATGGTCATTTAATACACTTTCAGGACGAAAGGGCGCACCACTGCATCCCCCTCTGGGTCCGCCTATGTGAATTAGAAAAACACTGAGCACGGCTGCCAGTTGTCGAGTGACGTCGACAATCTATTGAAAGCTATGACTAACGTCGAATGACGTCAACAATCTATTGGAAGCTATGACGTCAACAATGTAGCCGGATGTGCGCGTGAAGTGAGCACTATAGTGATATCCGATTATTATGGAATGGAGTATAAATTTTTATACTGTAAAGTATTATAAGTACTGTCGGAAATAGAAAAAAACTGTTTTTAGGCTGTTACTCTGTATCCCTAAAATTTACACAATTGCAAATAGCATATGTCGAAATAACCCACTTCGGCCTAACTGGGCGTTCAGTGGGGTGCGTAATACGATATCCAGAAAAGCATGTTTACTCGTAAAATCGGGCAAAACTTAGAAAAAACCCCGAATAGCTGCTGAAAACAATAGATCAGACTATAGACGGCAATTAGGTCGCTCAGCCAGGTATGACGACGGACCGTCGACTCACCTGGGATGAAATGCACGTGCTGCCTACAAGCACAAGGGGTCATCTGAAATATATTTGTTGCTTTTTCATGTGTGTTGACTATGTCTCATCTATTGATTAACATCTTACGTGTCTTTCTTTCATGAAGTTTATGTTGAGATATGTAAAAGAGTATGATACCCGAAAAACCATAGAAACGCATCGATCGTAGTATATAGGTGGCATGACCACCCGAAGATCGACAGGACTGGATATTATTTGTAAATTGTTATGACGTGCCGTGTACCTCCCCAGTATAATTGCCCTAAAGGATTATCTTATCTTAGCTGATATCTCTATCCCCCAGCCCGACCCAAGGTTTTGCTTTTGAGACTACCCCTCCTATCTGTTTCTTTTTATAGTGACAGTGAGACTGCATGGTAGCTACATTCTTAATAGTTTCAGCATAAAAGTTATTATTTTTTACGTCAGCTATTGTTTATAATGAATCTACGTCTAATTTCAAATTGGGCATTTAAAAAAAAGTGTCATTTGTAATACAATATCGTCGCACACTAATTTGCATAAAGCCATGGTCTGCTCCAAATAAGTCTTTTTGGACTGCATTGCTCATTTCTGCACTAATTTCCCCGCAGTAAAGTCCTTTTTCTCCGTTTCCTATCCCTCTACCACCGAGACTGTAGTTAGGCCGAACTTAATTTAACAGATATTTCACACTTGCACATATCAACTACAAAACTTGTAGAGATAAATGAGGAAGTACAGTTTTTTTCTATTTCCGACAGTACTTATAGTGAAGATATCAACTATAATCTTGATCCTGGAAGCATATTTGTTTGCAATGTTTGTATTGCCTTCTGAGTTAAACTCGTCACGGTATGGCTGAGATATTGCCGATGTGACGTTAAATATTAACTCACTCACTGTGAGTTAAACTTTGCGAAAAACCCTGATGTGCAGTGATTTATATGGTACGAACACCGATCACCCAAGCTGGTGTAATCCATGTGAAACCTTGAAGGCGGGTGCACACCCAGCTTACTCTGTATCCAGTCACTGTCACCAGACATAGTTTTCTGTGAAAAGGAAGGCACTTTCGGTTTGGGGATTTCCCAGAATTACGCCGCCATCTTGGACACAGTTTTCACTGAGGCGATGTTAACGGTAAATATACTTTCCCAAATCCTTATTATACGACAACGTGTACTACATGGATGGCACATGCACGACAGGTTGGATCGGTGTGTGGAACATTTATGAGGAGTTCTTGAATACAGGGAGATAACTCGTCGTTCAGTCATTACTCTCAGCCACTCAGCATCGGAAGTCCATCATCAATCGTTTATTTACGGTAACTGGAAATTTTATAATCAAATCAGTATGTAGATATGATTTCTCAGTTAAACCAAGTTATGGGTTTTAACAGGCAATTTAATTTGTTTGCACAAAATCAGCTACACGGTAACAGGATTGGATTAAAACACTCGCAATACCGTTTGTCGGTTGGGTTAATTTTTTTAGGAACTTTAACCCAAAACATCTTCGCTTCATTGACCATTTATGTACAAATCCACGTAAACTATTGCTTCTTTTTTGGCATTTTTGTCCTGTTTTAACAATTCTTTGTCAGGGTTTTCAGGGATACAAAATAAACTAAGCATTCGTAAGTCTTGGCCAACTAGATTTGTATAATATGTACTAAACCTGAACTAACATAATAACAGCATTTGTTAAGATTTTATAATGTGTCATCTGTCATTTGCTAATCAAAATATTTATGTTTCCATGGAAACAAATCCAAACTATTAAAGTAGAAAAATAGAACGAGTTTAGTGTTTTAGTTAGGATTGACTAAAACTAAAGTATGGCTAGTAAATCAATGTGTTTTGAATATAATAATATAACATTAATAATTTGAACCATTATGTGAACTGGGGTGGTGGGGTAGTCCAGTGGTTAAAGCGTTCGCTCGTCATGCTGAAGACCTGGGTTCGATTCCCCACATGGGTATAATGTGTGAAGCCCATTTCTGGTGTCCCCAGTCGTGATATTGCTGGAATATTGCTACAGGTGGCGTTAAACCATACTCACTCACTCATTATGTGGACCAATGGACAATTGTATCAGATCAGATGTACATTGAACTTGATCCTAAGCAAGGAGTTGTATTGTGGGAATTGATCATTTTCCATCTTATTCTATCCTGGATTGTTGTTTTTGAAGGTAAGTGGAGTTTGCCCACTGCACTGAAAACCTTACTTGATTCCTTACATTGGTATATTGTGTAAAGCCTACTTCAGGCAGCCATGGTAATATTGGGGTTGTAATATGAAAGTTATGATACTTTATGGATAACAACTTCTTGCCTGGCAAGGGTATGAGAATCTATACCGAAATGTCGCATCATATAAAGCGTTGTTATCGATAAAGTATCGTACCAAGCATCATATAAATTTTGTTATCGATAAAGTATCATACCTTAAGGGTATGAGAATCTATACCGAAATGTCGCATCATAAAAGCGTTGTTATCGATAAAGTATCATACCTTAAGGGTATGAGAATCTATACCGAAATGTCGCATCATAAAAACGTTGTTATCGATAAAGTATCATACCTTAAGGGTATGAGAATCTATACCGAAATGTCGCATCATAAAAACGTTGTTATCGATAAAGTATCATACCTTTCTTAGGCCCCCAAAATAAATGTTGTTGTTCCGATTTCCTACATTTCAGAACTAGGTAAGGTAGGTATTTTTTTGGGGTTTTTTGCAAAATATATTTACATCACTCATGTGTCAGAAAATAAATATAATTTATTATGTGGTGAGTAAAATTGTTAGGCTCAGCGGGAATATTTAGGGTCGGTCAGGAAATCGGAACCACAAGCTTTTTTTTTTTAGGCCTTATTATTCATCAGCTTCTAAAATTCCAGTCAAACAGAAAATATTGGAATTATAGTAAAACTGACAAGACCATACTCACTATTTCCCAAGAAAGCATTAATTTGGGCTATGAGGGTTGTCAATTAGTTTTAATATCATGGCTCTAGATAGGGTTACCCTCACCAACTATCCACCTATCACTGGAAACATCACTCTGCAGAGATAGTTACAGAACAGTACTATCTCAGGGTTGAGTGTTATTCAGTTATGGAAAATTGTGTCCAAATGCTTGGTCTTTTGCAGCTTCTGATCAAACTCAGATCATTTCAATTAGTTAAAACACCACTTATACAGATTATGGTGGAACTGTATTTTTTGTTTCCCAGAGCTCATAATGAAGTAATGGGCAAAAATATTGATAAGTTAGCATAGTTGGTGATGACATTGGGTTGGAATAATACAATAGCCTTGTGTGTGTTTATTTTGGTTGGCAAGTGAATGCCTCTCTTTACTGAGATGTTGTCACATGGAAATGATGTTACTGATGAAACAGATAGGAAACAGTTAAAGTAATCCTTTTGTCAACATTTTATTCAAGACAACCTTATTCCACATTTAGGAAGATTTTGATAGGCATCTTTGCATGAATTGGCTTTACACTTATGTTTAAGTGCTCTGGTCAAAGGGAGACAACTCTGGCGACAGTAGTGACTAAATCAAATATAGCTATTCAAGCCATCAAAGTAAGACGATGTTTTGTGTTACAGCTTGATCCAGTTATGAACTCTACACCTGTACGTCTGTAGGAATAGCCTGATCAGGAGTAGACATTTGCCTCAAAGTCAACAGCAAATATCTGTAAGTTTTCACAAATTTGAAGTAAGAGTTCCAGTTGATGATAATATGGTTACAAGTAATGTTATGAGTTTGAAAAGGTTACTAAGATTTCATTGTTAAAAGGACACAAGAAATGGGCTTCACACATTGTGCTTACGTGGGGAATCGAACCTGGGTCTTCAGTGTGACAAATGAATGTTTTAATTACTTGGTTTACTGGATACACCACTGCCTCTGTTGATAGTAGTATTGATACAATAAACTTAGCCCTCCTTATACAACTGCCTCTTAACCCTCCTTACACCACTGCCTCTGTTGATAGTAGTATTGATACAATAAACTTAGCCCTCCTCAGCTATTTCATTGTACATGTGTGCATTTTTCAGCCTTAAAACAACAGAAAACCCCCCAAAAAGTGACTACCTCAGCCAGTTTCTTTTCCGAGTATAGGAAGCTAAACAGACCAACCACAGTTTCGTCCATTTAAAAATAACTATGGTCACATTCAGCTTGTCATGAGTGAGTGAGTTTAGTTTTACGCCACTTTTATCAATATTCCAGCAATATCACAGGGAACTCCAGAAATGGGCTTCACACATTGTACCATATAAAAGGATCCTTTTATATAGTACTAAGACTCCGTCAGTGACAGTATATACCTTGATGGCAGTTTTTAGTGTTACAAGCCCCTGTGCATTGTACCAATGTGGGGAATCGAACCTGAGTTTTTGGCATGACGAGCGAATGCTTTAACCACTAGGCTACCCCACAACACAAGTCATGAATGCTCCCTATGAAAAATGACCGCCTCCGTGGTGTAGTGGTTAGAGCGTCCGCCCGGAGAGCACAAGGTCGCGGGTTCGATCCCCGACCGCGTCATACCAAAAGACATTAAAATATGGTACTTGTTGGTCCCTGCCTGGCGTTCGGCATTAATGGGTACAACAAGGACTGGTCGGCTCGGAGTCAGTATAATGTGTCTGAGTGGGGTATTCATGCTTCACTGCGGCATGGTATCTCAGTGGGCTAGCACTATAAAACCAGCTCCAGTCTGGGCTAGTACAAGCAGCCGCACTTACACATACACACGCATGCACGACGCCATATGAGCGAAATATTCTCAAGCACGACGTGAATCCCAATTTCACCTCACCTCAACCCTATGAAAAATGGTTGTTATTATGACTCAGGTTTGGAGTAGTATAACCTTAAGGTCAGACAACACCAAATCAGAATCCGTATTTTAACAAGCACTTTTCGTCCCAAACCCTCAGTGCAGACTGAATCATCTGACAGTGTGATTGGGTGATTTTGTGTAAGAGTTTTGTGTTTTATAAATGTACATCCATCTAGTAATTAAAACTTTTAGTAATCATGTCTTTTTGTACCTGATGACTTATACTGAATGTGACTACAGGTATTTTCAAGCAGTTGACATTTTGTGTGGAACTGGGGACTGTGAGACAGACTATGTTCAACTATAAATCTATGTCCTGGTGGAAGTTGTGTTTTGTCTGCTGGTTAGTAGTGTTGGGAATTGGTTGAAATCTGATAATTGATGATTGCTTCATTACCAACGAACAATCATCGATAAAAATTGGTTAGCGTCAATTTTCAGAATTTCCTATCCAGTTTGTTATTGCAGATATGTATAACATGATGTAACTTGCTACTATAAAGTGATGTTGATATATCATGAACATAAACCTTCTGGGGTCTTCAAGAAATATTCAGTCATGACTTTTCAGTTAGTGAAGTGAGTTTTCTAAGAATTAAACAAGCTTTCAAGCCCTGACAACTTCGAAGTTATGTTCCATCGTCAAGTGTTTCAAAGACTAAAACAGCAGTTCCAAAATAGTTTGCGTTCGATTATGAGAAAATGTGATCGATTGCTTGGTCGTTTCGTCACTTCGACCAATCTTCGATTATTTCAATTAATGGGAACACCACTACTGGTTCGTGCATAAATCATGCAGAACAGTTTTTGATTCAGATGCTTGATTGGCATTTTAGAAGATGCTGTTTGATGAACATAAAGAATTATCTAGATTTCATCTTCTTTTCATTCATTGATACAACGTTTCGGGGCCTGTTCCGGCCCCATCATGAGGTAAAACTAATGTTACTGTTCAAAGAATAAAAGGAAGATGAAATGCAGAAAATTCTTCATGTTCAGTTTTTGTTTTGTCTATCTGTTTCTCTTCAGTGTATATATTTGTCATTTCTATCATCTTGTCACATGATGCAATTTGTAGTATCTGAGATGTTTTCCTTCTTGCACCGGGTGCAACCTAAGATAAAGACCTAGTTGCACCAACCAAATTCCAGTTGCAACATAGTGTGTTAAAACTTCAGAGGTTTTGGTGCACATAAACATATTTCCGTCATGTACCCATGAAACCATAGCAACACAAACGCAGCTGATCCCTGTTTACAAGAGCTGAGACGTGTCTATAAATAGCAATGTTTCATTGCCACAGCTATTCAAAGTTTAGGAGAAAAATGAGCTGACATATATATGCTTATAATGTTAGATTTATTGTTGATTTATTTCTCAAAAATTTACTTGCACCTTGTGCAAGTTAGACTCATAACTAGGTTGCCCTTTGTAATATTGCGTTGCACAAGTGCAAGTAACAAAGTACTAAATTGAGCCCTGACTATCAACGATGATTTGTTCCACATGATATTAGTACTATCCAGAACGATATTGCCGGTGTAGAGTGAGGGAATGAGTATGGTTTTACGCCGCTTTTAGCAATATTCCAGCAATATCACGGCAGGGGACAACAGAAATAGGCTTCACACATTGTACCCATGTGGGGATTCGAACCCGGGGGGCCCGCGAAGATCCGGGGTAGAATAGGTCTTCAGCAACCCATGCTTGCCATACAAGGCGACTATGCTTGTCGTAAGAGGCGACTTACAGGATCGGGTGGTCAGGCTCGCTGACTTGGTTGACACATGTCATCGGTTCCCAATTGCGCAGATCGATGCTCATGCTGTTGATCACTGGATTGTCTGGTCTAGACTCGATTATTTACAGACCGCCGCCATATAGCTGGAATATTGCTGAGTGTGGCGTAAAACTAAACTCACTCACTAACTCGAACCCGGGTTTTCGGTATGATGAGTGTCGTCTTCTTTTTTCCTCCAGGGACGGTCGGGTAGTCTAGTGGTTAAAGTGTTTGTTCTTCATAATGAAGACCTGGGTTTGATTTCCAGTAAGGTACAATGTGTCAGGTGTTCTTGGCTGTGGTATTATTGGAGTACTACAGCAGATAACTAAACTCACTCAGTGTTATTACTCCACCTCTTATTCCTCCTTCCACGCCAGACCTGTGAAGATTAAAAGGTTAAAATTGATCTTCAGCAAACTATGCTTGTCGTAAGAAGCAACTAACGAGATCGGGTGGTCAGGCGCATTGACTCTTTTGACACGTCATCATATCCCAGTTGCGTAAAACAATGCTCATGCTGTTGATCACTGAATTGTCTGGTCCAGACTCGATTATTTACAGACCGCCGCCATATTGCTGGAATATTGCTGAGTGCAGCGTTTAACAACAAACAAACCAATTGTATTCCTCCAGGAATGTTGGGTAGCCTTGTGGTTAAAGTATTTGTTCTTCATGCAGAAGACCTGGGTTTAATTCCCAACATGGGTACAAAGCATCAAGCCAATTTTTAGTGCCCCTTCCCATGATATTACTGGAGTATCTCACTCATATTCCTCCTGTTCTTGTTCATCCTCCACCTCTTCCTCCGCCACTTCCTGCTGCTGCTGCTACTGTTATGAGAGAGGGGCGGTGGGGTAGCCTAGTGGTTAAAGCGTTGGCTCGTCACGCCGAATTTGTAAGTTGTAATATCATATTGTTTAAGTGATAGTTATTTGTGGTTTAAAGTTTTGAGTGTGGGTTTTGGCTTGCATCTCGCATCATATATGTTCAATGGCAATAGTATTTGTAGCGGCACGCCTTTTTGATAGAGCTTCAGAGTTGCCTCCCTTGACTGGCTTTTTTTTGTTTTGACTTCTGGGTCTTGTCACGTCGTGTGTTTTCCACGTGGTTCCATGGCGTTTTGAGAGAATAATGATGGAGCCTAGCTTGCTAGAATGCTCGAGAACTGTGTAAGAGCTCTATAAAGGCTGGTTGTTGAGTAGTGCGACATGGAATTATTCACATGATTGGATTTATCTGTCTGCATCTGTCTGCCATCATCAAGTTGTTCAACGTGCTTGTCTATTCAACTACTGTCATTGCAGGGGTGGAAATAACTTGAAAGTTGCTAGTGTACTCCGGTACAGTGGCACATGTAAAATCACTTGCCCTGATAATTTTTCCACTAAACCAGTTATTTCTTGTTGATTTTTTAAATAAACAACATAATTAACATTGGAAAGACAACTGGACACCGGTACAGTGTGATATACAAATTTGCTTGCCCAACAGAAAAAAACACTGGACTCGGATGTTGGGCAATGGGTTATTTCCACCCCTGCATTGTATATTGTTAATCTATATGTCGTTTTAGTCACGATATGGCTGAAATATTGCAAAAGTGACTTTAAATATTAACTCACTCACTCACTACTGTCATTGTAAACAACCTTCAATCAGTATATTTGTTCTCACTGTAAATGTCAAAACTCTGGTAAGATAATATTTTATATTTGTGACCAAATATATTAGATTTGTGACTCAATTGCATTGTACTAGAAATCTGTATGGTCATTCATTGTAGTTTGCTCATTGTTTGTTCAATATATTATTGAATATTGTAGACTTGTCTGTGTTCTATTTTGCTGGTTCAAATGGGACTTTTAAACCTTTTGTCACGGCAATTTATTAACCAGAACACTACCAGCACTATCACCACTTCTCTACAGGGTTCAATTCCTGCATTGAGTTTGTGAATGACCAATGAATAACGAAGCAGTTTATATTCTATTTTGAAAAGTAATTAATTGAATTTTCACTAATCATCATTGGTTGTTTGTAGATTCAACTTGACGAGGGGACTTGTCCGTAACCATGGTAATGGCTGCTGGACCAGGCTGGCCCAAGATGCAGAATTGGCACAAACATTGGGTACACATTTTGTTTGCTCAGCAGAATGGTTGGGTGTTTTTAACAAAGGCTGTAATGACTTGAAAGAAATTCCATATTGATTTTATTAGGTCTTCAGACGAAAGTCTGGAAGACCTACTGTTATTATCCGAATATTATTCTTTTTCTTCTTCTTCTTCTTCTTCTTCTTATTATTTGTACAATTTTTGTGACAGCTCTCCTGACCTAACCACAGGGCCGATTTTCATGAAACTTTCAGAGGTGATAGCCTGTGTGCTGAAATTGATACACAGTCGAAAAAATCCAGACTTCCGGCTTCCGGTAAGGGCAGAGAACCCACAATGTCAAAATATTTCAAACTTTTTCAACGTCTATATCTCCAATACTATTAGAGATAAATTGACCAAATTTTCACTAAATGTAGACAACAACCTTCCCCATGGATTCAACCCATAGTCGAAGTTTCGCGGCAGAATAAATTTTCCGCAATTTTGAAAAACTGAAATTTTTGCCGATTTCCTCGCTTTGACGGTGCCTGTCTTTAAAATCTTCTTCTCCAGAACGGCATATAGTACAATCCGTTCGATATATCATTTTAAAACCCACACTCGGACTACTTAAACCCTTCAAGGCATATTGATATCTTGAATAGTTTAAGAGTTATCGCCCTTGGAAGTCAGTGATTTTTTAAGACGCATTTTTATAGGGTTAAGAAAGAGGTCACGACTCTCGCAAGGAAAATCAATGAATTCCATCTTCCATAGTATCAAACTGTAGGTAATTGGATGGGAAACATTTTTGCTTCACATCATGGTTATGAAAAAATCAATAATAACGTCACCATTACGACGCGAAAACACAGCCTTCAGCGATTTAAGCAAATTTCTGCACCTTTTGACGGTGCCTCTGTTTAACAATCCTCTGCTCCTGAACGGCAAATAGTACACTAGTGTTCTATATATCGTTTTAAAGCCCACACTCCGGACTACTTAGGTTGTTGAATGCATATCGATATCTTGAATAGTGTCGGAGTTATTGCCCTTGGAAGTTGGTCAATTTTTGGCCAAACGCATTTTTATAGGGTTCACAGCTCTGCGAAAACACAATGGATTTTCTTTTTGAAGGTACCAAACTGTAGACAATAAAATGTGGAACAATTTTGCGTCACATTATCATTATGTAAAAGTCAATAGTTACGCCACAATTACGCCACAAACAGTGAGGGACATTAGGATTTCGCATTTTTTCAGTTGTGAGATAGCTGGAGGAAGTGTCGTAAAATCTAGCACCACTGCCCGTGTCCTGGTTTTCCAGTGCCCACAGAAATAGTTCCCTCTTTAACAGTTCGTAACTCTGTTGTTCATAGGTCTACATTCAAAAGAATTAGTGTTCTGGAATTGCCAGGATGTGATCTCTCCAGCAGTCTGCAACATGTACCAGTAATCTCTCTTATAGTATATGTTTTTCTGCAGTTTGTGAATTTTCCGTTTGTGTCAGCAGCATTGAATCAATGCCAAATTAATCTCAGGTTGGAACCCCGGCCTTTAACCGCACCACAGTAATTTTTTAAAGGTTGGGTTGAGTTGAGTTGGGCTTTACGTTGCTTTATTCCAGCCAGCCATATAGTGATAAGAACAAGTCTGCATTAGTACACATGGTAAGTACAGAGTCAAAATGAGTTTTATTTAAAAAAACATCTATTCATTACGTTGTCATTTAAAAACAGAAAAAGTCACAGTACAATCCCGTTCGATATATCATTTTAAAACCCACACTCCGGACTACTTAAACCCTTCAAGGCATATTGATATCTTGAATAGTTTAAGAGTTATCGCCCTTGGAAGTCAGTGATTTTTTTAAGACGCATTTTTATAGGGTTAAGAAAGAGGTCACGACTCTGCGGAAAATCAATGAATTCCATCTTCCATAGTATCAAACTGTAGGTAATTGGATGGGAAACATTTTTGCTTCACATCATGGTTATGAAAAAATCAATAATAACGTCACCATTACGACGCAAACACAGCCTTCGCGATTTCGCAAATTTCTGCACCTTTTTGACGGTGCCTCTGTTTAACAATCCTCTGCTCCTGAACGGCAAATAGTACACTAGTGTTCTATATATCGTTTTAAAGCCCACACTCCGGACTACTTAGGTTGTTGAATGCATATCGATATCTTGAATAGTGTCGGAGTTATTGCCCTTGGAAGTTGGTCAATTTTTGGCCAAACGCATTTTTATAGGGTTCACAGCTCTGCGAAAACACAATGGATTTTCTTTTTGAAGGTACCAAACTGTAGACAATAAAATGTGGAACAATTTTGCGTCACATTATCATTATGTAAAAGTCAATAGTTACGCCACAATTACGCCACAAACAGTGAGGGACATTAGGATTTCGCATTTTTTCAGTTGTGAGATAGCTGGAGGAAGTGTCGTAAAATCTAGCACCACTGCCCGTGTCCTGGTTTTCCAGTGCCCACAGAAATAGTTCCCTCTTTAACAGTTCGTAACTCTGTTGTTCATAGGTCTACATTCAAAAGAATTAGTGTTCTGGAATTGCCAGGATGTGATCTCTCCAGCAGTCTGCAACATGTACCAGTAATCTCTCTTATAGTATATGTTTTTCTGCAGTTTGTGAATTTTCCGTTTGTGTCAGCAGCATTGAATCAATGCCAAATTAATCTCAGGTTGGAACCCCGGCCTTTAACCGCACCACAGTAATTTTTTAAAGGTTGGGTTGAGTTGAGTTGGGCTTTACGTTGCTTTATTCCAGCCAGCCATATAGTGATAAGAACAAGTCTGCATTAGTACACATGGTAAGTACAGAGTCAAAATGAGTTTTATTTAAAAAAACATCTATTCATTACGTTGTCATTTAAAAACAGAAAAAGTCATAGCACTAAATTTAAAAGCAGGCAGTTTGTTAGTCACATCACACAGTTGCAATTTATAATACAGATAAACTTCCCTCAGGTTGTTCACTATCAGATGGCTCCACGCGGAAGAACATATATCTCCTATAAAGGGACTACCACTGCAAAGCGTGGTCCACGTGCAGATATGGGAGACGATGTCAATTTCAACGGCAGATGTAATTGACAATGACAAGGAGCTGTCAAATCTGAGTTGGAACGTCATCCAATGCCCAAAGAAATAGCGTTACATCGGCATTATCCTTCAAAAGTGCAGTATTTGCACATACGTGTATCGTCAGATAGCTAGGATCACGCGGCGATTCCAGAACACTAATCGTTTGGACCGTAGGCCCAAGGACGGCTGAGCTACAGACAGTTAAAGAAAGAACTATATCTTCGATGGGAACTACTTAAAAGGTACATGACCCCCGCGACCCCGGCTCCATTTCACCGATCCGCTCTCGTGTCAAAAACGTGTTCTGCCTGGGTTTAGGAAGGTTTCTAGCCCTTCAATACACTTCAAACACCCGTAACTCCGAGGGTTAAAATTGACGCTCCAGCTGGCGTCCAAAGAAACAGTACAAGTGAAGGTAGTCACGGAGGGGTGTATGGGGGAAGTCTGAAGACCGCCAGTATTGCCCAAGAGGCAATCCTAGTTAATATTGATATGTCTTGATAATTTTACACATAAATTACATCATATAGGCCTAACAGTTGAGAATAGAAACCAATGATATTTGTGGATCATCGGTGGAAAAATGTTAGAGGTCAGAAAAATAATATTTCAGGGCTCGATTTAAGAGACGTTAACCTACTTGCACCAGGTGCAACCTGAGATAAAAACCTAGTTGCACCAGCAAAATTCCAGTTGCACTGCTTTTATGGCAATATGTAATGAATGGAATATGCTATTGAATTATTTAGATGTTTTATTCAGAAGTTTACCCACTCACAACTTGACCTGCACCTTGTGCAAGTTAGACTAATAACTACGTTGCAATTTGTAATATTGGCTAGCATCAGTGCAAGTAACAAAGCACTAAATCGAGCCCTGTATTTATATCACAGCAAGAGTGTTCTATTTAGTTGACCTTTTGTTATGATCAGAAATACTTTCAAATTTGTCATTGTTCATATTCTTCAGTTTCTAGGATTGGTTTCCAACAACAAAATCTGACATTACCGTTGGCACCTGGCTTCAAAGCAAGTACAGTGATGTCAGGTCCATAGAAGTCCATCGTGACATGTGTTGCCATGCTGTTAGCTCACAGTGATTATCCAGGGATTCATCGTCAGGCTGAATCCACCACAAGAATTGGTTCAGAGAGTTAGAACAGTTTGAACAGCTGAGAGGAAACTTTGCCAGGTAATGGAGGAATTCAATGCCAGTAGCTCTTTGGAAGAGGAGGTTGGCAATGATGGAGGAGTATATAATCAGGATGAGACAGTGCCACCTGGCGATGACATTGGTGACAGTAACAATGAGGTGGTACCACCTGGTGAAGAAGAGAATCAGGGTCTGCACACTAGTCCACCTTCTCTGTCAGAGGAACTGTCTACTCCATCCATTCCATCCATGGAATCAGAACTAGCTCCAAGCCACCAGCAACTCCATGTAACAGAATCCAATAGTTCATCAATCTATATGAGAAGCCTCATTGAGCAAGAAGGTAGGAATGCATCTGACAATGTGACAATATCAACATCAGAAGGTCAACAAGAAGCACCAGAATCTCAGGATTCCCCCGAAGAGGATGCAGAACAGCTGCAGGGGCAACAACCATTGAATTTACAGTCAGCACACAGGGGTGAAATATCACTTCATGCAGAACAAAATATTTATAATGAATATCATAACATGAGGCTTATAATGGAATCTGGGTTTGGACAGTCAAGTCCTGTTGGACAAGTTCCTCCTGCTGCAGGCTGGCATCTTTCAGAGAGAAACTTCAACATGGAACAGATTGTCAGAATATGGGAAAGGACTGATCTGTATAGTCAAAACCAACTACTAAATAGCTTTTTGGAGTACTCCTTGTACAGACCAAACATAGTCCAGAGAGGTGGACATCTAGCATTGTTAAACATGCTGAATGCCATTACTGGTGAAAATAGTGGGGACACACATGCACTTCGGGATGCAGTACATGGTGTTCTACTGAATGTAAGTATATCCCTCTGTGATAGATGTTACGGCCTAAACCTACAGCTTTATTTGACTGACCCATTATTTCACTTGTGCCTCAAATGTTTTTATGTAACAACTATTAACAGCTGCTATACTAATGTTTACCACTTGGCAAAAGGTTTTCTCACAATATCTTCGCTGGAACCATTTTTACCGACAAATTTGACAAACGTTGTAACTGACATCACCTATTCACCACTCGAAGGATAAATATTTTTTGTTTGAAGTATATTTTTGTTATTCAAGAAAAAGATTAGTGGATGCTTCCCACTCATGTGAGTTTATATTTGTTCGTTTGTTGTGTAAGGCCACACGCAGCAATATTCCTTAGGGACCAGAGGCCCAGATAAGCTGCGTATCCGGGTAAAATACGCATAGAAAATTTCCATTTACGCTTTGAAAAATAATTGTTGCATACCAATTACGCATTGAAAATGTTAAATACACATAAAGTTTAAAACAAATGCATACGGAATATATTTGTAAAAATCGCTTGCGTAGTGAAAAAGACATCGATTGCTATCAAGTTGTACTGTTAGTATAGGACTAGTGTTGTACTGTCAGTATAGGATGAGTGATTTTTTATGAAATCATTTCCATTATATTTAAGTTGGTTTTGATTAGGTATGGCATAAGGCAGAACATACCTGCTTTGTAAACTTACTCAATGACGTAATACTTAGGTGAGTAAAATGACTGGAATATGCACATATTTGAAAGCAGTGGGTAACGGAAAATGAAATACCCACTCAACATTTATAATACCCACTCCCAAAAAGTACAGTGGGTACAGTACCCACATGAAATAAATCTTATCTGGAGCTCTGCTTAGGGACCGTTCATAATTTGTGGCTTGTGGGGTGATGATGATTTTGAGGGGGTCATCCATTTTGTAGTGGGGTTATCAATTTTGTACACATGTACCGCCAGCAGTTTTGTACATAGAAAATATGGGGAAAGGTGTGTGTGTGTGTGTGTGTGTAATTGATTTTGTTCATGACATGCAGGGGGGTCACTTACATAAATTTTAGTCAGGGGGGATGTCATTCATGTTGCACATGCTTCTCCATAAACATCATCATCAGCCCCCTCTAGCCATAGATTGTGAACGGCCCCTTAATTTGTCATTATAGTCCGTTTGGCTCAAAATCGGACTATTGTATTTCTTAATAAAATATTTGAATGTTCTTGTGTTTAGAATACAAAAACATGTGACTTTGAGTGCACGTGTTTGTTGACACGATATCACTGCTGACATCGTATGTCTTTATGAGCTACATTGCTGTATGGTAAATATTTAAATAACTACATCTTTTTGGTCTTCTATTCTTCCAGAATCAGGATTTCCTGGTACCGTCAAACGGTCACTTCAGGTTGGGTCATGAATACTCCTCAGTAAAGTGCTGTAACCAAAGGACACTCAGGTGCTCTCTACCAAACAGGGATTTTGACTTCATCAGAAAAACGGTAAGTGTCAACGTTTTGACTATTAGTGAGTGAACAAGCGACTGAGCGAGTGTGTTCTTGGGTGGTGTTCTTGGGTTGGGAGGTGTGTACTTGGATGGGTGAGTGGGTGAATGAATGGGTGTGTTCTTGGGTTGGTAGGTGTGTACTTGGATGGGTTTGTGAGTGAATGAATGGGTGTGTTCTTGGGTTGGTAGGTGTGTACTTGGATGGACGGGTGGGTGAATGAATGGGTGTGTTCTTGGTTGGTAGGTGTGTGCTTGGATGGGTGAATGGGTGAATGAATGGGTGTGTTCTTGGGTTGGTAGGTGTGTACTTGGATGGGTGAATGGGTGAATGAATGGGTGTGTTCTTGGGTTGGTAGGTGTGTTCTTGGGTTGGTAGGGTGTGTTCTTGGGTGGGTGAGTGGGTGAATGAATGGGTGTGTTCTTGGGTTGGTAGGTGTGTTCTTGGGTTGGTAGATGTGTTCTTGGGTTGGTTGGTGTGTTCTTGGGTTGGTAGGTGTGTTCTTGTGTGGGTGAATGGGTGTGTTCTTGGGTTGGTAGGTGTGTTCTTGGGTTGGTAGGTGTTTTCTTGGGTTGGTAGGTGTGTTCTTGGGTGGGTGAATGGGTGTGTTCTTGGGTTGGTAGGTGTGTTCTTGGGTTGGTAGGTGTGTCCTTGGGTTGGTTGGTGTGTTCTTTGATTGGTAGGTGTGTTCTTGGGTTGGTAGGTGTGTTCTTGGGTTGGTTGGTGTGTTCTTGGGTTGGTAGGTGTGTTCTTGGGTTGGTTGGTGTGTTCTTGGGTTGGTTGGTGTGTCCTTGGGTTGGTAGGTGTGTTCTTGGGTGGGTGAATGGGTGTGTTCTTGGGTTGGTTGGTGTGTCCTTGGGTTGGTTGGTGTGTTCTTGGGTTGGTAGGTGTGTTCTTGGGTTGGTAGGTGTGTCCTTTGGTTGGTTAGTGTGGCCTTTGGGTTGGTAGGTGTGTCCTTGGGTTGGTTGGTGTGTTCTTGGATTGGTAGGTGTGTTCTTGGGTTGGTTGGTGTGTTCTTGGGTGGGTGAGTGAATGTGTATATTCTTTGGTGGTCAAGTGAGTGAGTGAGGGTTCTTGTGTTGGTGGGTGAGTGAATGAGTGAGTGAGTGTGTGGTGTCTTAGGTGAGGGAAGGAGTGTGGGTGGGATTTAACACCACTTTTAATAGTATTCTCTTGTATCATCACATCTCTGCTAAGCATGAGAGGTAAGCCCCAGGTTTTTCAGGTCTCAGATTTTCACCTCTGAAATCTTGGATCAAAGACAGTCTACTGTTATGTGTTGACTCCCAGGTTGATTCTAAAAGTTAACCCAGAATCAACCGTAAAAGAACTAAGTGTGAAACAAACAAAACCAAAAAGAATGTTAATTTTTTAAAATTTTATTGACATTTACATTCTAAAATTAACTAAGTTTACATGTTTATACAAATCACTAAGTAACAATCAGTGCGTCAGTACAGAATAGAGTGGCAAATCACAATTTAGAGGTAATATTAAACAAGAGCAGCGATACCAGCAGTAGAGATGGCAATGGCAATACTCACCTCTCAGCAGCAGTAATCCAACTTGCAACCAAGGCTATAGTCCGTTTGATTTCATTTGACTTCATTGAAATTTCACTGCACTTGTTGATTACCTGGCTGTTCTACCAGCAAGTAGTCCCCCTTCGAAATAAATAGCGAAAAATGACAACCAAATAATGATCATTGTTAAACAACATTTTTATTCAGGTGTCCAAAATTATGAGACAAATCATCAGAGTTTGGCTGTTGATTTCATGTTACTGTGCAAAATTTGGTTTTGTTGCAATTATTAGATTTTGTGTTAGTGAGCAATTCATTGGTATCAAATGAAATCAAACGGACTATAGCACTGAATAATGATCATCACACAAGATGCTGGTCTAGCTTGAGATGTCATGTGAGATGAGGCAATGTGGTCCTCTCCTTATGTAACCTATAAAAAGATATTAGAACCTTTTACAATACTCTCAAAGGCAGATGATTCTGGAATCAGCTCCTTGTAGCACTTTCCTGATCTGTCTTTCTAAAACTAGTACAAGTCTAAATATAGCCACAGACCACCACAGACTATCCACATGTACACACTTGGAACATTGTTACATAATGAATAATACTAAAGCACACTTTTGCCCTGAACTATTATAGTTAAAGTACGAGAACGCTTGCGAAAGTGTGCTTTATTACACTATACATGGTGGTAGAGCGAACTGTATTTCTTTTCCAAGATGCCAAATTTAATACTTTCAAAGGATAATTACGATTAATTTAAGGCAGAAAACAAACGACTGTGTCGGTGACCTAAATTAAGAATGCTCGCACAGGGCTAACTGGCGCGCTGAGCTATTGATGTGTCTGCCCCCTACGTTAAGACGAATGTTACCAGAAAAAAACAAATGATAACAGTTTGATGACGGTTTACGTTCGGATTAAATATCTTCTCTGAATTATTTTACTTACATCTGTCATTAACGTAAACCATATGGGGCAATATGAACGTCGCATTTCTACTAAAAACGTAAGTTTAGATCAGTACATTCAGATGAAGCTGAGTAGTCAAGCGACATTCCACGATTGCATTGTGGGAATGTAAACATTGCGAATGTTATTGTGTCGCTGAAAAATTGTGAGTCGAATTGACACATTTTAACTGTCGTAAAACATAAATGTAATGTTTCCACTAGTGTTGTTAGCTGCGTGAAGCAACTGCAAACCAAGAAACGGGATGCAACGGAGTAGTTTACTGTAGGAGACCGTACGAGGCGATGACAACTGACATGCAACGTGACGTCGCTTACATTGTGACGTAATGTAAAATGGTTTGATTACGAGGGGGCAGACTAGAATGGCGCAGTGACAGGATAACGTCATTCAATTGCTACGTCATCAAAAAACTATACCTTTATTGTCTGATAATGTATTTTTTGGTCGATTGTTCTAACCGCTAGGCATCTTAGAAAAGGTAATAATATATATCCGTCAAACTGTCACTTTATGATATATATAATAAATATGTATCAAGTCAAGTGCATTGTATCTGACAGATCTTTATAATGATGTACAAGTTCACCTATGAATCATGCTGTTGTCATGTTATATTGTTGTGCCTCTTAAGAGGATATGTTACAGCATCAGTACATCTCCAATATTATTAATATTCTTCAGCTGTTGTAAGAATCAAGGTCAGGGTATTTGTGAGCCGTCTTCTCTTTTGTATCATATCTTTTCCATTTCCTTTCACATGCTTTTTAAAAATAGGGTAAGTGGGTTGATTTTATCTCTTTTTTTCACTTTTTTTTTCTGAGAATGTCTTCAAGGATACAATATCATGTTGTTACAATGCCTTGTGATGAAACATTAAAAATTTCTATATCAAATCATTATTCATGTTATTTATTTGCAGGTTTTGTTAGTGAGAGCCCATTATGCCAACTGAATGCAATCCATTTTTATGATGAAAATGATAGGTTGAAATGCACTCCAGTCATTATTTTGATTTGGTTAAAACAAGATTTAGGGTTGGGGGTGTTAGGATAGGGTCGGTCAGGAAACCGGAAACAGACTTTGCTTAAAGAAGAATCTGAACCAAAAAGACAACTTTTGATATATTGTGAAGGATATTCTAAAAGTCACCTTCCGTGATTAAAATTGAACAAAAGGTTTGTAAAATAGCAATGAAAACACAAAAAACATACTCGTATTTCCGCCTTTTACGGAAACACCCGACAGTTAATGAGCAGAGGGGGTATCACGTGACATGACGTCATCTGTGCCTGTTGCTGATGGCTGCCTCTGATTTTACCTCACAACTTAACAGTGTCCATGGATTCTGAAGCAGTAAAAGATGTTCCTGATGTCATTTCTGAAATGGATGTTAGACTGTATCAATACAATCCGATTTTACATCTTGCAAGTCAATCTTCCAGAGAAGATGAAGAAGAAGAATCAAGCGAAACGGAGGCACCGCTTGAGTTCAAAATAAAGTTTAATATATACCATATCATTTGACAGCAAAATGTGATACAGTTCCAACCAGCAAACCCACCCCTATAAGTATATGACCAGTCCCTAAGAATTATATTTTTTGCAATGTGATTGCAGTTACTTTTGTGTCAAATGGGTGACTGTAGAGTGTCTGGGATTTAAAAACACAATAATTATGCTTAAGACGGGGAAAATAGAAATTTTCTGCTATAAAAATTACAATGGAATTATTTTGTTGAAAAAAAAATTAGGACCCTAGTTCTCATTAATAACATAGCAAGTCTCCATACAAGATCCCAGCCTGGTTTAGCAGAGATAATATTCAAGATGCAGATAAGTTATTCCCCGAAAACTGGTGAATTATAAAATACTTGTCAGGACAATGTATGTTTCCCCAGTGTTTGGTTATGGAAATAGTTATGGTACTCGGCCATAGCCTTAGAATGGCATCTTGTCAGCCAATGTGAACACTGAACAACTTGCACGGCACACACTACTGACAAATAGCGAGTCTGATGCCAACGTGCGTAATTGGACAAAATGGAAAACAATGAAAGCAACAAGTACTTCATGATTTGATTGTATCCGGCAATGTTTCGGGTAGTCTGCAGCATTTAGGGCTCCAAACCCCAAAGAACGTCATAGCGAAACATTTTCAAGCTCATGTGAATCTCTTACTGATTTTGATATCTACCTGTATCTCATGGGAACTGCAGCGGGGGCAATTCGACTGGCAATCGTACTTGATTTAATTTATGTTAAAAATACCACTGACAGTAAGCTGTAACAGGGAATGATGGAGTATAGATGAATCTTGTGGGTAATTCTTCCTTCTTTAGCCTAGCTGTGGGATTTGTATGCCCCATGTGTGCTTGTCTCTTCATATGCATCCGACTTGGAATGATCAGACCATTTCTGTCTGTCTCTTTACTTGGAAAAGGGAAGAAATGGTGGCTTTCGATTGTTCGATGATTCCGTGCATCCCCAGGCAACAGAATACACCATCGTACCATTTACAAAAACGACAGAAACAACATGATTTGTACTACTGTAGCGCTTTGTCTTGGCAATATGGCGGACTCCAGGTACATTTGACGTCACGAGCGCAAAGGTCACGTGGGTTCCAGCGAAATATGCATAATGGCCGAAGCTGAGATTTACAGAAACTGTTTTCGCGATTAAAACATAATTATACATAATTTTTAATTGAAAATTTGGGAATTTGTTTCTGATGACTTTATCTTTCACCCAGCAAATTATTGCAATTCACTCGTATTCTCCTTTAAGTTTTGCCTTATGTCTCAGCTGGGTTAAACCTTGTGACTGTATTCTGAAGTTGTGAGTGAAAATGTTGTCTTGTTCCTCACAGTACTGCGTCCGTGATTGGTGTGGCGAGCAGATGATAGTTCCCTTCCTGTGTGGCAGCAAGCAGTATCGTCCAGCCTTTGGGACTGACCTGGGCGGGGGAGGTCCAGGTGTTCCTGCCAGTCATCCAAGGTATCTATCTTCCTCCACTCTACATCCGACCGGACTTTCAGGTCCCCATCAGTTAACAAAAGAAGTGACTTAAGATGATTGGCTTGCTCAATCTCAATAACTTATTTGTTTGAATGTATCAATGTTCCTAATAACTGGGGGCGGTGGGGTAGCCTAGTGGTTAAAGCGTTGGCTCGTCCCGCCGAAGGCCCGGGTTCGATTCCCCACATGGGCACAATGTGTTAAGCCCATTTCTGGTGTCCCCCGCCGTGATATTGCTGGAATATTGCTAAAAGCGGCGTAAAACTAGACTCAGTCAGTCAGTCCTAATAACTGCTTGTCGTAAGAAGCGACTAACTGGATCGGGTGGTCAGACTCACTCACTTGGTTGACACATGTGATGCTCATGATGTTGATCACTGGATTGTGTGGTCCAGGCTTGATTATTTACAGACTGCCGCACTAAGAGCGGTGTAAAACCAAACTCACTCACTCACTCACAGACTGCCGCCATATTGCAATTGGGAACCGATGACCTAGGCCAACCAAGTCAGCGAGCCTGACCACCCGATCTCGTTAGTCACCTCTTACCATGGGTTACTGAAGATCAATTTTACCAGGATCTTCTCGGGTCATGATCATCCTTAATTGTACTACACCGAATATAGGTATCTGGTTTACAATACAAGAAACATGGGTTACTACTGTCTTGTGCAACTCTAACCTGAAGCTCATGGTCCTCATTCTTGTTGCACTGTGGAGTTATATTCCCATCTGAGTATTGTCCATCCTGCACACTCCGGCGCAGTGATGACTTAGCATAACATCACTGCCACAGGCTTATTTGCATATCACGTTACCAGACTTTTCTCTTGTTTTTTTAATAGTGTTGGGAATTGGTCAAAGTCTCATAATTGATGATTGGTTTATTACAACCGATCAATCATCGAAAATAATTGGTTAGCGTCATAAATGAAATTTGTTAATGCACATAAACATATGGAAAAAACATGTAGTTGTTTTGTTTTTTTGGCAAAATTTCACATCTTTAAAGGATGACTAGTGTGTCAGGAACATAAATTTCTTGGACTCTTTAAGATAAATTCAATATGACTTGAAACGAGCTTGTAGTGCTTATGAAATGTAACAGACAAAACCAACCTTGTGAAAAATATTGGTTATGAAAACAAGTGTTTCGGAATTGTTTGTGTTCGATTATGAGAAGACATGATCGATTGCTTGGTCGTTTAGTTACTACGACCAATCTTCGATTATTTCAATTAATCGGACCACCACTAGTTTGTAAACGAACACGCATATTCGTAATAAGAAGAGACTGGCCTTACTTAAGCTTTTCGGCCCGCTCTTCACAATGTTTGACACTGTTCCATATATATTCTTCCACAACTGCAACAGCAAGGTCTATGACAGTACATATTTAGATATCAAATTGGTTGCATCGTTCGCTCTCCGTCAGCTTCGATGACAGCATGTGGAGCCGTACAACCTATGTAAACAAAGGATCGCTATGCAAATCGAAATAGTGTCTCATGTTTTAGGATATTTTCTCAGTGAAACTAAACCATTCTATCAAAGATGTTTAATTAGATGTGTAGACTCGTCAAAAATAAAAGAGTTACGAATTATGTACATTATATTGAATGGACAGTGCAAGATGTGACGAATCGTCACATCTTTCTGGCCTGTGGCAGAGGTACTATGCTGGCTGGCCGCATGGAACTCTGGGTAGGAGAGTGTACATTGACCTTCTAGATTTAAACAACATTCCTACGTTTTCATTATACATGAAGGACATACTTACCAAATAAACACCAGCATGCCATGAAGATGTTGAAAATAGAATGATATTGCGGTGAACTTCGCCAAAGTAAACTGACAACGATCAGCTGCCTTTGCGCGCGATAATTGTGCGCATGTCCGGATATGGCCAAATGAGGCGATCTGGCATGTGTTTGAAAGCAAATTGTCGGGAATTATACAATTTTGACAGTTTTGTGGGAAAATATCAAATGTAATGCAATTCGGATAACTGATGACTTTATACCTAAAATCATTGATCTTTTCATTTTCAATTGCGATTTACGTAATATTTCATTCCGTTGATCGATGCACAATCAAACAATATATAAGATTATATGTGTCACTAGCTCAATCTTGATCTTTTATGAAATTAATGTTCCCGAAATGATAGTTTCTAAGTTGGATACATATTACCAATATGAATTATGTACTAAATTTGCCAAGGAAACAATTAGTTGACATTTTGTTGGTTCCTTACGTTGAAACAACGTTGACAACTAAACGAATCTCGACTAACTTTCTTTGGTCGCATGATAAACGTTGAATCAACGTTTATGACAGGTTGATCAACCAAACAACCAAAAGTCAATGTTGTCCATCCTGCTACAGGTGGAACACTTTCACTAACCTTCAGCATATTACCCTGTATCAAAAACCTGTTCAAATATATTAGACCTGTCGACCTAATCTTTGGAGGGTCTAAAGTGGAAACCCACACTTTTTTTTTGTGATCAAAACAGTGCATACAAATAATACCCTCCATGTTTATTTTATAGAAAATGTGATTAAGTTCACCAACTTAAATGAAATGATTCAAAACAAATTTTTGGTCCCAACAAATCACAGGCCAAGGGATGACAACAGAATTTGTTGGGCAGGTTCCAGTCATAATATCAAGATGGCTACACGGGCTGGCATATTGGACAAAATATTTAGTAACAACGACATTATTATTGCAACATGTTATGTTTTGTTTAACTCAGTGTTTTTAAAGAATTGTCTGTTTAACACATTAGTCTTGTAACTATTAAAATTTTCATGTTGTTGTTTTTGCTCAGTTTTAGTGTTATTTAAATCGAGAAATGCATGAAGGTTTGACGGAACAGTTTTCAGAAAAGGGTGCATTTCTCTCTTTTTATCCCACCGGCATGTAATGTGGTGGGGTATAGTCGTCGTCTCGTCCGTCCGTCCGTGGGTCCGTGATCATTTTGTTTCCGGAGCATAACTCAAAGACCGTTCGATATTTTTCAACAAAACTTGGTAGATATGTGAAACATAACCTAAGGTGGTGCCTTTTGCTATTTACAGATTATTGTCATTTTTATTTTTCTCGTTTTCCATGGAAACGTTTTGGACTTAGTCTTAAAGAAAGGTGGGCTTCGTTTCCGGAGCATAACTCAAAAACCGTTCAATATTTTTCAACAAGACTTTTCTCGTAGCATTGGTACCTGCTATACTGTAACATTGGAGGTACGAATGCTACGAGAAAAGTTACGAGATCTTAGGCCTACGACAGCTTTGTGAAACGGGGCCCAGAGCCTTAAGTGGTGCCTTTTGCTATTTGCAGATTTTTGTCATTTATTTTTGTCATGATTTCCATGGAAACGATTTGCACTTAGTCTAAAATCAAGCTGGACTTTAAAGGTCACATGCAACGTAAAACACAACTTTGCAGATTCTGATACCTTTCGGTATGGACTTACCGAAACAAATCGTCAAAAATGCAAATTCAACTTATAAAGTTGAAAAATAACGCGATGAAAAAAAACGTGCGAAATCGGAGTTCAAACGTTTCACTAATTTTCCCCCGACTTTTCGGGGGAAAACTGGTTTCAACAGCTGGGCTGCGCTCATAGCATGTGCGCAGTGAAATAAGTTCGCGCAGCTTGGAAGCGGGTTGTCCGGTGAATACTCGCTGAAGGCTTTGGTGTGAGCTATTTTTCTAATGTTTTGTTGATATCTCACAGGCGCGAGCTTTTTATATGTTAACTGTTTATATAATTTCATTTGTCTTTTTCACCACACGCTCTTCTTACCGAGTCACTTTCTCAGTTGGATACTTAAAAGCAATGTCATTATTTAGCGTTGACAGAATTTTTTAACTGTGATATAGATCTGTCGTTGTCACAGACAAAACTCAATGTCTTGTTTTATTGACACCTGTGTGTCTGCCTGCCTGTCTGCTAATGACAATATTCAATAAACAGCTGCTATCACTGACCACATGCAATTTGAACTTAACACCAATCAGGCTATACACCATAAACAAAATGCATTGATTTATGGCCCGAGTTCGGTCTCTGTCACATTACGTTATTACACAGACATGCAGGTGTGATACTTGAACACATGACATGTTATGATGTCTGTTGATTGTAAAATGTTATACCCAAAAAATGAGCATGTATTTACAAAACCCAACATCTCTATATGTACACACACAATGAGCCTTGAGGGCATCTGCAAATGAACCAGCCGTTACACTTGAGTGCACACCCACCCGCTCTGACTGGGTTTGGTATACCAGCTGCTTCGTTTCTTGGGAAGTAAACCCAAGTACACAATATTGCACTTTTGATTTGCGATTGTACGCTTATAATTTTGTTTATATGTTTTTTCATAACCAGCAATGTATATTATATGTCATGAATAAGTGATAATTGTGTTTTAATTATGCTTGATTTTTTGGTTGCATGTGACCTTTAAGTAACTGTCAGATGATTTGTTCTTTCAAAGATGTGGGGGCCGGGGGGATATGTCATCTTCTGATGACTCATGTTAAAAATGTTTGTTACAAATTCTTTTCAGTTGCATGTTTTATAGACTCTTAAATTCATGAGATTTGTTGGTATTTTAGATTTATTACCCCAATTATGTGAGGAAGACAGTGTGCTGATTATTCCAAGTAGAATCCGTCTCAGTCCAGTTTATATAGAATCTGTCTCGGTCCAGTTTATATAGAATCCGGCTTGGTCCAGTTGTAGCCTGAATGAGCTCATTTTTATCCCCCCGGCATTTAATTTGGGGGGATATAGTCGACGCCTCGTCTGTCTGTCCGTCCGTCCGTAATCATTTTGTTTCAGTAGCATAACTCAAAAACCATTCTATATTTTTCAGCAAAAATTGGTAGATATATCAAACAGAACCTAAGGTGGTGCCTTTTGCTATTTACAGATTTTTGGCATTTTTATTTTCCTCGGTTTCCATGGAAACGATTCGGACTTAGTCCAAAAAGGGAGGGGTGGGCTTCATTTCCAGAGCACAACTCAAAAAGCGTTCAATATTTTACAGCAAAACTTGGTAGATATATGAGACAGATCTTGTACAGATTTTTGGCATTTATATTTCTCATGATTTCTATGGAAATGATTTGGATTTAGTCTAAAAAAAATCAAGCTGGACTTTAAGCAACTGTCAGATGATTTGTTCTTTCAAAGATGTGGGGCCGGGGGGATATGTCATCTTCTGATGACTCTTGTTCTAGAAAGACATTGTTTAACAAATTTAATATGTAAGGAAGATTACCACACAGAATTCCAAAACACTGCTTACAGTTTAAAACAGGAAGTGAATTGAAATCCGTGTTCATATTGTTTTAAACCTGCTGGTGCTGATTAAATATTTTGTGAAAAGTATTTCATCAGAAGTTGAATTTGAGAAAATGGGTGCATCGCATGAATAGCTTTCAGGTTTGATCTGATTGACAAGTGAATTTGTATTGACGATTCTGTTACAGGGGAAAGTCTGGCTGATGTGTTGAGGAAGTGTGGTCGAGGTTTGACACAACATGAGGTGATACTTCTCACATATCAGCTACTGCAGATTGTGTCCGATCTTCAAAGATACAAATGTCTTCATCGAAATATCACTCGTGAGTTGCTTCTGTTTTCTTTTGTGTTTGGTTGGTTGGTTGGTTGGTTGGTTGGTTGTTGTTTAACGCCGCACTCAGCAATATTTCAGCTATATGACGACTGTCTGTAAATAATCAAGTCTGGACCAGACAATCTAGTGATCAACAGCATCAGCATCGACCTATGCATTTGGGATACGATGACATGTGTCATTTAGAGAGCCTGACCACCCCATCCTGTTAGTTGCCTGTTACATTTTCTTTAATGGCATCCAAATGACTTGAAAAGACCTTTTTATTCATGAAAAGTCTTTATGTTTTGTGTCGACTATTAATAGCCTTGAGAATGACAGAAATGGCATGAAAAGACTTTTAATTTAATGCTTCCTCTTAAAAAGGTTATGTTAAATGTCAACCAGAAAGGCCTTGCAAATGACCAAAATGGCTTGAAAATCCAATTTATTCAAAGACTTGTCTCTGTCTATCATCTCTGTAGGCGTGCTAAGTGCTCAGATGGTCAAGTGACAGTCCACTACTGTCATTCTCTTCCTTGTCGCCCACTGGTGTGGACATGTGTTATGCTGTGTCTGCGACTCGTCTCTACTTTTCATCATGGGACAAGTAATTGATCTTCCCGGAAGAGATAACACTGTAACAATTACAGAAGTATTTCTTCCTGCCGATGATCCTCACACACTGTGTGTTGATTGTATCGGATGGTTTGATGGGCCTCACTGTTGCTCTTATTGTGCCATTTCGGACGATGAAGCATTCTCCGTTATCGTGGAATGGGCACAAGATCATCAAGACCACACAGCTCACCATTCATCACCATCACCGGAAAAAGATTTCTTGATGCAGCATCGAATTCCTACCTCAGCGAGAATTACGTTGGTTATTCCGACCCCAGACTTCGAGTCAAGCTAGGATCGGGACAGGATGACTTCCCCACTCAGGTAGTGAACTTCATACTTCGGCGTCACAGTCACGATTGACAGTTCTAGTGACTTTTTCTCTAACACCTGATACAGCATTGTCAGCACCTACTGGCAATGTGTCTCTATTTTTCTGAATCAGCAATGAACTTACCAAGAATGATTCTTTGTAGTGCAAGCATGTCCATGGCTACGCCTCCAACTCCAGTGATGATATTAAGTTCAACAATCCCTGTTAGTTCGGCGGTTTCCATCTAGTGCACTAGTCCATTCGGTGTTACGTTCTAGTGCGCCGATTATGTTTGGATCGAGTGTTTCACTCCAGTGCATTGCTCTCACACAATTCGATGCTCCAGAGTGGCTCTACTGCTGTATGCTTCTGTTTGGTTCGACACTGCCGTTTCAGTTCGGTCCGGCACATTGTACCTTTGTGTCACTCTCACATAGGGAAGAAGAGGCCAGTGAACTGTTTCACTTCAGTTCACCGCACTCATTCGGTCCAACTCATTAGCCCAATGCGCCGCTTACAATAGGATCAACACTTCAGCCCAGTGTGCCTTTTCGATTGGAGCAACGCCTGCCGAACCAGATCACGTGACCGAACCGGATCACAGTACCGAACCAGATCACCTATCAGATCCAGATCTTCAAACCGATCCTGGTCACCAAACCATACCAGATCGCCACTCCAACAGTACTCGCCATCTGACAGTGTTCACCGAATCATCTGCTTACCTCTATGCACCTCCTGTCAGCTTGTCTTTCTTTGCTAGTTTGCAAACAACGTTACCTACAGTGATTTTTTCACTGCAAGTTTACCGTTAACAATTCTTCCAACTTCGGTGTTGATACCTCATTTCTACAGTTTCTCCCAGTGCTCAGCTTGACTTTGGGGTTATTACGCTTCCTGCTTCTGCGGTGTCTATGTATGGATAGAGCGTTCCAATGTACCGCTTTCATTCATTTCGGCGCTTCAGAGAGCACCTTGGGTTTTGATTGGCTCGTCTCTACACACCAATGCGCCGCTTTCAACACAGTGCGGCGCTTTCATTCAATTCCATGTTATCTACTAATATGCTGCTCATATCCAGAGTGCCACTTTACTCCAATGCGCCGCTTTCTTATGTGTCAACGTTTCCATTCAGTGAGGCGTTTCCAGTTTAGTGCATCGTTTCTGTTGTTTGTTCAGAGGTAGTGAGGTGAGGTGAGGTGAAATTGGGTTTAACGTCGTACTTGAGAATATTTCTCATATGGCGGCGATGCGAAGCGTGTAGTAATAATGTAATACAAAGGGCTGCTTGTACTAGCCCAGACTGAAGCTGGTTTTATAGTGCTAGCCCACTGAGATACCATGCCGCAGTGAAGCATGAATACCCCACTCAGACACATTATACTGACTCCGAGCTGACCAGTCCTTGTTGTACCCATTAATGCTGAGTGCCAGGCAGGGACCAACAAGTACCATATTTTAACGTCTTTTGGTTGGACGCGGTGGGGGATCGAACCTGCGACCTTCCGCTCTCCTTCAGAGGTAGTAGTTATGTCAGTAGCGCAGGCGTCTAAATTACGGCAGCGATTGAAGTCCCGGATCTTCGAGATTCCTCCGTCATCTACCTTCTGATCCTCACCTTTGATGAATGATTCAATTCAACAAATCTACCCTTTAACATAGATATCAGCTCTACAACCACCCGATTGTGCATTACTAGACCAGCTTGATATTCAGGAATATTATACAAAGCTTCACTGAGTCCTGTTACTACAGACTACTTGTAGCAGCGTTATGGTAAGATTCTGGACAGATGTGTCCAGCAGCAGTGATGTTTTGTCAAGTAGCTAGCGTCCCTTAGCCTGGATTTTATATGTTGGGACTCGCCTCGTTAACCGAAGACTGTGTTGTCTGGATTTTGTCACTATTGCATTGTGTGGGTAGCATTTGCAATGGCGGACTACTGTTTGTTTACCGGCAACTTTTGATGATTAGAGTGACTATGAAGTGTCCTGACAGACTTGTCAGGTCCCACAAAGCGGATAACTATCCCAGCCTTTAATTGAGAAGTGATGATGAACATCAGAGATGCCAACCCTTACGCTTTCGGCGTAATTATTACGATTTTGACCATTAAATACGCCATTACACTTAATCTGCGAAAATTACGCTTTTCTACTTGTTTTACGAAAATCAGTAAAGTGGATAAATTTTCATTAGGACTATTCCCATATAATGTGTAGGTAACAGGTAGTTGCTCATCTGTTCATTGAACCGTAAATGTTGTTGTTTTAAGGTGTCTGCGAACTGGCTGTCTGCGTAATGGGAAGACACCCAGGAAAGTGTTTCGTAACGCACAGGTGCAGGGGTGCAGAAGTGGCCTTGCACAGATAGGAATCTCTTACTCATTCCAATTAACTTGCAAGGAATTAAAGTATTTTGAGTCACATGACCAACAATTTTGGATGTATGGAGCCTCATTGGATTGGTCACATGTGTTTCTGCCTAGAATCTTCCTTTCGTGAAACCGTGTACCATGTTGAAGCGATTGGCAGACACGTATTACACTTTTTAGGTCCAAATTACACTTTCTGACCTCTAGTATTACACTTAGGCCCATAATAGGGTTGGCATCTCTGGAACATTGCCATTCCTGGTAAGAATGATTATGTCGAGATTCGTCAGCCAGCCGAGAGAAACAGTTTACCGTCAGACAGAATCACTCGGGAATGCTTTCACTTTGGCTAGGGTTACTCGGTTTCCTACATTAGCTAAAGCCCTCAGTTCAGTCGTCATTGCAGGTCAAGAGTTCTGCCTGTACCCCCCCCCTTCAAAACAAAATTCATTCTTCCCGGGGGATCTTTTCCCCTGGAGGGTTAAGATATTTGGGGTATATTCAAAAGTGTGTGTATTATTGAAATTACTTCCTGCTGGTCGTTATTCTTCCCTTTTGGCTTTCATCCTCAGCGACACTGTACATCCGGTTTCAGCTATCATTTACTGTAACACACATCAATTGAGTTATCTCCCTTTAAGAATTATATTGCAAATGTTTGTGTCTTACCTGGGATTCGATCCACTGTCCTCCATCTGTCTTTGCTTCCGGTCATCTGACCCTCCGTAGTGTGATCACGGCTGTTTTGTGATTGACGACAAGAGATGATAGTTTCTTGATGTTATGTTTAGCGATATTGTTAGTGTGACGTCATATAGAACTTTCTTCACAACTGATGTTGTGCGCTTTGAGTTTTGTGAAGGTGTCTGTTGACTTCAGTGTATTTGCTTGTGTGACCTACATTTGTACACGCCTACTTCATGCACTCTATGATAGCTTCGTGCTTTTATAACTTGTGTGATTGGGCTCATTATGTGTTCTGGCAGATGTTGCACGAGATTTGAGCCTATATATTGACTTGGAAAGGTAACTTCGACTTCTTTCTTGCCTTGAAACCGAGAACATTACCATCTAAACAGCTAGCATGTCCTCAGATGAGATGTTTCCACCCAATTTGCCACGCGCACACTCACATTCAAGTGAAAGCTCCCTAGATCCTCTGTTGGATTTGTTGTCATCGGGTGACATCACCCCAGGTCAACATAGACTGAGAGACGATTCAGACGATGACTCACCTATTTTTTTGCAGGTTAGTCCCGACGTTATAACTAAAGGACATACGAATGACGGCCAGGCATCATCTGTAAGTTCCGTCTCCAGCACAGGTTTGTCACACTTACTAACACATGAGTTTTCGGGTGAGCTTTCCACAACTAATTCCGCTAATTCCCACCCATCCCCTCCAGCTCCGGTTTCTATTGACACACCTACCCGACCCAAACGCACCATTAAACGCCCCGCTCGGTTTGTTGATTCTAACTCATCCAGCCCTTCACCCCCTCGTCCCAGGAAATGCAAGGTCAAAACCCTGCACTTAACTCCCCGAACACAGGCCAAATCCCCTTCTGATACCCCGCCACTCCCGGCACCATCCTCCTCACTCACTCCTGCTGCAGGTAACGAGCCATCAGTGTCTGAACCTGCGGTGAGACCTACCATCCCCATTAACTTGTTTACTTTATGTTCCAACTTACGCACTTCTAAGAGCACCATTGAATTTTGTAAACGCTACGGTGTTTTACCAGCACAAGCTCACTGCCCTAACTGTCACCAAGTACTACCTCGCACATATGGTATTAACAGAAAGGGTAAGAATGTGGCTTTCAGATTTCAATGTAATAAAATGGTATGCAAAAAATCTAACAATAACCAAGTTCCTGCACGGAGGGGTACATGGTTTTCTGATTCCAATTTGTCTTTGAATAAGACTATTCTCCTTACCTACTGTTTTGCTCATAAGATGAGTTATACTGACACAATCAGAGAAACCAGTATTGATTGTGATAAGGATGGGAGAGTACTGGAAACATCTAGAGAAACTGTAGCGGACTATTTCATGTACTGTCAGGAGGTATGCTCTTCAGTCGTGGAAAGGAACAGTTCAAACATGATAGGGGGTCCTGGCATGACGGTAGAGATTGATGAGAGTAAGTTTGGTAAACGTAAGTATCATCGGGGTAGAGTAGTCGAGGGCCAGTGGGTTTTGGGTGGAATTTGTAGAGAAAGTCGGGAATTATTTTTGGTGCCAGTGGACATCGGCTTAATGTACCCAGGTCAACATTGATGGTAAGTGTAATGATTACACTAATAATTTTATTTGATGTGATGCTCGTTATATTATATGAATTAGTTGTGAGGAATATGTCATATTTCCGCTTCTTCCTTGCCAGGTGTCATGGCGTCTTTCGTGGGTGAATGATAGTGTTCTATTCCCAGAGGGTGTTTCACGTGTGTTACCTAATCGTATTAAGTTGCTATTTTGCCATCACGTTATTGAATGTTGGTTGCATTTTTTTATAATCCTACCACTGTCATTGCGTTTTCATCATATTTTAGAAGGGGGGGTACGTGTAGAACTCTTTCCGGTCCGGACTGTCTGAAAGCATCGATTTTACTACCTTCGTCTCCCTTACGACCGTTCATGGGGTCACCGGTCTTTTTACCTCCACCATTCCATCAACGGTAGATTGACGATCCCCATGCATCTCATTTACTAAATTTCTTACTCCATCTGGTGGAGTACCATACGTTCCTGCGATCCAGGATTGTATTCTTCATCACTCTATGTACTATGTGAACGTTCCTGTAGATTGACTCACAATCTCCATGCCTCGAACCTACTACATTGAGCACTTCTTTAGTACTGTCATGGTAGCTCGGCTAATTGAACACTTCCTGAGTGGCAATAGTTGCTAGGCCTTTTGACGTCAGCTCAAGTCCTAACGTACAGAGGCCATCTCCAGCTTCGGCTGATACAGCGATTTCTACGCCCGTATCTCGAGGCCAACAACCGAGCCCCAAGGAATTGATTTGCCATCCAGAACTGCTTCGTCCAGCCCTTCAGCGGTGGCTTGATGAACGGAAGGTCTGCGCTGGAGTCTCTATGGTTCTCCTAGCGCACTCGCAAACGCAGGACTCTTCGTCAGTGGCAAGAACTTCTGGGTCTGCTGACGTCAGCTCAAGCTTTGACTCTCAGGGGACAGATTCAACTACGACCTCTCCAATATTTTCTGTGTCAGCACATCAGGATTGGTGACCATCACGCATTGATCTCTCTTCCTCCGGTGCTCCATCCCCATCTCCAATAGTGGTTGGAGGAGTTGAATGTTTGCGGCAGAGTCTCTTTAAGGCTGTTACATCCAGTACATCACCTGTACGTAGACCCCTCTACACATTGGGGGAGCTAATCTACTCGGTCATCAAGTGGCTGTGCTGTGGTGCAACATCACCACAATTTTGGGCCCTGACGACACTGACGATCTCTCCCTCTGTTCTGTCCGGACTATATGGGTCTATCTAGCTGCTTCCAAGGACTGTCATAGGCTACATAAGAGACTATGTATTCCTCTGTCTGCCTCATCTGCAGAGGTCTCTCGTACCACCTTGGCATTCTAGATGAGGTCTACTGTCCTTCGTGCCTAAGCTGACCTCCCTTGGCCTACTACGGCCAACCCTCAGTGTTTTACTTAAGTCAGAGGTGGTCGACACTCCACTTGTTGACCTCTACTCTCTGAGCAATTACGTCAGCGAAGTGCTGATTTTCCGATTACCTATACGGTTTTCGAAGCATTCCACTCCTAAGACCTTTTTTACCTTTGGTAAGATGGTGAAGTAGGGGGAGAGGTCGGACGGGAGAGATTTTATTCAACTTAGCCTGCAGCATGTTTCCATGACTTGGTCGAAGAAGAGCGAGAAGTACACACCGTGAGATAGGATAAGTATATAAATATACAATTTATAGTTAAAATTTCCAATTTTATATCACGATACGGCTGATATGTTGCCGATGTGACTTTAAATCTTAACTCACTAATATTATGTTGACAGACTAAGGATTATAACCTAACTGGAAAAAAGCTGTGAAAAGTTATTTGTTGCTTGATGATGACATCTATTATAAGAATTTTTTCATGTGTATATATCAAAGGATTTTTCTTGTTTTCGCAAGGAATATAAGGAACAATAAATTAACTGCTAACTTGTTATTGTATACGTTAACCAATTTTCATGATATAACCTCATCATTGATTTGTTGCAACCAGTATATCTAATCTTGTTTATGTCGTTGTGTTGCAGCGGACAATGTCATCATATCCTACGTAAACCAGTGCCTTTACCTTGTGGGAAATGGAGCCTTGTGTCGGCTACAGAATGCGTTGCCAACGATACCATCAGACCTCAGTTTGTTCACTGCTCCTGAATTGGCGCGAGGAGAAGGTATTGTTTAACTTGACGAGGAATCTTGTTATCCCCCGTCGCATGTTTAGCGTGAAGCGGGGGATATAGTATTTGACTCCGTCCGGTCATCTGCATGTACGAATTGGAATACCTTAAGAACCTGTCGACTAGATTCTTTCATATTTCGTACCTAGCCTCATCACAGTATGAGAAAGGTCACAGTCAGGTTTGGTGACCTTGACCTTCATTTTAAGGTCACAAAGGGAATTTAACATTTTACCCTTGTCAGCAAGATATCTCAAGAACCGTTCACTGGAATTTCTTCATATTTGACACCAAGCTTCATCTAGGGAAGGTGCAGGGCCCAGTCAACTTTGGTGATCTTCACATAAGTTTCAAGGTCATGGCGACACTTTCAGCATGTTAACCTGCAGGTTAAGATAGCCAGCAAGATATCTCAGGAACGGTTCACTGCATTTTCTTCATAGGCTTTCAAGACTTCTCTTGAATGTTGTTTGATAAGCAATTTCTTTATTACTATTTTGCATGTTTCATAAACCATGACATTCATGTCAAGGTGAAAGTGATTCTTGAAACTATTTGTTTGTTTGAAAAACTACAGAGCAAGGTATCAAGAGAGGTTGACCGGTCATCTTTTGTTAACACTTAACTTCATCTTAAACTACGACTTTCACTTTCATTACTTTTTATTCCCCCCGGCATGTAATGCTGAGAGATATAGTCGACGCCTTGTCTGTCCGTCCATAAACATTTTGTTCCGGAGCATAACTCAAAAACCGTTCAATATTTTTTTTAAAAGATTGGTAGATATGTCAAACAGAACCTAAGGTGGTGCCTTTTGCTATTTACAGATTTTTGTCATTTATATTTTTCTCGGTTTTCATGGAAACGTTTTGGACTTAGTCTTAAAGGGAGGGGTGGGTTTCGTTTCCGGAGCACAACTCGAAAACTTCTTAATATCAGTCAGCAAAACATGGCAGATATGTGAGGCAGATCCCAAAGTGGTGCCTTTTGCTATTTGCAGATTTTTTACATTTATATTTTTCCCGGTTTCCATGGAAATGATTTGGAATCAGTCTCAAAAGGGAGGGGTGGGCTTCGTTTTTGGAGCACAACTCGAAAAGCGTTCAATATCTTTCAATATATGACACAGATCTGAAGTGGTGACTTTTGCTATTTACAGATTTTTGTCATTTTTCTTTTTCTCGGTTTCCATGGAAACATATTGGACTTAGTTTTAAAGGGAGGGGTGGGCTTCATTTCCGGAGCATAACTCAAAAACCGTTCAATATTTCGCTGCAAAAATTGGTAGATATATCAAACAGAACCTAAAATGGTGCCTTTTGCTATTTACAGACTTTTGCGATTTATTATTTTCTCGGTTTCCATGAAAATGATTCAGACTTAGTTTCAAGAGGAATTGGTGGGCTTCATTTCAAGCTGGATTTTAAGTGACTGTCAGATGATTTGTTCTTTCAAATATGTGGGGGCCAGGGGGATATGTCATCTTCTGATGACTCTTGTTAAGTTTGATTTGATAATTGTGGCGGGGGATTATGTCACCTCAGTGACGATGCTTGTTTGTTTCTATTATGTTAATTATATGGTAACAAGTCATGTTTTTGACAAATTGTTCCGACAAAAATGGACATGTTGTGAAACAATGTTAGAAAATCTTCTATTTTTTTCCATCTCTTATTGTAGAACACCCCAGAGCAGACCTCTACAGTGCAGGATGTACAATGATAAGTGCCCTGAATGAACAAATTCCCTTCTTCGACATCAACGGTATTCAGAGGACTTGGAGGAATAATCTGTTCAGGGTAGGTGGATATATGACACATTTTCATATTCAGTTGCTGAAAAGACCTTTGTGATGAAGACAAAAGCAATTTCAAAATCTCAAAGAAGCTTCTTTTAAGAATCCAGAATAGCTGAAGCTTTTTGAACCCGTGTAACAAAAACATTATAACATGTTCATAAGTGTGTAGTTCACCTGATTAGTCAACAGTGAGCTTGTGGTTCAGCCTGATTGGTCAACAGTCAGGTTGTGGTTCTGCCTGATTGGTCAACTGTGAGGTGGTGGTTTAGCCTGATTGGTCAACAGTGAGGTGGTGGTTTAGCCTGATTGGTCAGCAGTGAGATGGTGGTTTAGCCTGATTGGTCAACAGTGAGGTGGTGGTTTAGCCTGATTGGTCAACTGTAAGGTGGTGGTTTAGCCTGATTGGTCAACTGTAAGCTGGTGGTTTAGCCTGATTGGTCAACTGTGAGGTGGTGGTTTAGCCTGATTGGTCAACTGTAAGGTGGTGGTTTAGCCTGATTGGTCAATTGTAAGGTGATGGTTTAGCCTGATTAGTCAACAGTGAGGTGGTGGTTTAGCCTGATTGGTCAACAGTGAGGTGGTTGTTTAGCATGATTGGGCAACAGTGAGGTGGTTGTTTAGCATGATTGGGCAACAGTGAGGTGGGGTTTAGCCTGATTGGTCAACTGTAAGGTGGTTGTTTAGCCTGATTGGTCAACTGTGAGGTGGTGGTTTAGCCTGATTGGTCAACTGTGAGGTGGTGGTTTAGCCTGATTGGGCAACAGTGAGGTGGTGGTTTAGCCTGATTGGTCAACTGTGAGGTGGTGATTTAACCTGATTGGGCAACAGCCCAGGTAGCATGCCATCATCGGCCTGACGTCGGCTGATAGTCGTCTAATATCGGCATCGTTAAACAGCGCTGGGCCGACAGCAGGCCAATGTAACCCAGCTAACACATAACATTTTCCAAACATTTTCATAAGATTTCAAACTGATTTATCAAAAATATTTTCGTCAAAACACAGTCACAATCTTCGAACAATTCTCTCAACTATTTAAAAGCATTATTTATTCAAATGTTTTTTTAAAAGTTGTTCATGAAGAAAGAAGTGTTATTGGGGGAAAGGACGTCAGAACGACGTCACACGTTCACGTCATATTTTCTCAAGTTTATTGAGTACGGTACAACAATGTCACTGTGCAGCAACAAATGGAACTGTATCATCGATCTGCCCTCGGTTGCGGTAAGTTAACTTTACAGTCACTTCCCGGTTGTTCTTATGTTTATATACATTTTGATATTCACTCGATTAATGTATCGTGCTACTCAGAAATTGCAAGGTTTTGAGAAACATTGCAGCCGTACACGATCTCTTAGATTCGGTGTTGTTAGGCTTCCAGCAGAGAGCATTATGTATGTTGTTGTGAAGGAGACCTAAGGGAGTTTGCACCATATTAATGTTATGTTGGATACAAAATTTAATTCAGCTATCGATGGCAAGCAGTAAGTTCTTAACCAAGTTCAAGTCAGGCGGATATTTGCCGTTATTACATTCAGTTTTCGATCTAGTAAGCAAATGCACAGCTCACAAGCCAGTGACACTTATCGTCATTAATTTTGTTCCCTGTTATTTCTGAAATATATATTTTTTAAGTTAACATTACAACTTACTATCAAAATTTAAGCTATGAAACGTTCGCTCACTTCAGTCGGTGGGTGTGTTTGCATCAAACTTATAACACGAAAATGGGGAATCAAAAGTATTCAAATACTTTCTGGTCGACCTGACTGTGGCTATTAGTTACTGACACAGTCTAAGTGTGTTATTTAAAATGAATGTTCAGTAAGAAATGACCGAAGCAAACTTGGTAAATTACCGTAACACTGACTAAACTAAATGTTGATCATCTGCCTGGTTGTTGTGGTTTTGCTTGCCTAACATTTCCACGTTATTTTCAGTAAAAGGATGGATCTATATTATCAAAGTAAAGTGTTTACATTGTGTATTTTTCAATTTTTCCCAAATGAATCAATTTATCATATTCGGATATGTATATTTCTCTTCTAAACGAGAGCCAGAAATATACGTGTTTCTCACGCTATAATGGGGCGTTGACGATGACTGGTCCTCGGCAATGTTCATTCGGTTTTCGATCACCATGTTTTTTCATGATACAGTATTAATTGTTCAAATTTACTTAGTCTTTGGGTAAGACTTCTGTCCATATTCCCCCAAAATTTTAACAATGAGGAAAAATTTCTTTGAGTGGCATTTTTAGAAGTTGGATATGCCTTTCAGTATGTTCAGATACAATTAAAGAAACATGTTAAAACTCATCCTTATCAGATGATTTTTATATATTCAGGTAATAGGATTTGACTAGAATGAAATTTAAGGGGGGTTACAGGCGGAAGTCTTTCCGAGAAACAAATATAGTGATCGAAAACTGAACGAATCTGGATACAATGTTCAAAACGAAATCATAATGCAGCAGTAACTGTTCCACGTGTAAGACGTGAATCATGTAGCTAGTTACAATAGCTATTTAATATATCAATTCACTGACTGACTGACTGACTAACTGAGTATGGTTTTACGCCACTTTTAGCAATATTCCAGCAATATCATGGCGGGGGACACCAGAAATGGGCATAAATCAATTCAAGTTTGTATTCCAGGTTAGACTGTATAGAAGCCCTGTCCAGTAATCCATGTTTGTTGTAAAGGGGCAGTTATTTCCAATCCAACTTTATACACGTTGGTGTTAAATCTACACACTTGACCCCCCAAACTTTAGGCAGTAACTAACACCAGAGACTCTACTATATGGTCTCTGCTGTTACACAATATATTTCATATATTTTCACAACATATTTCGGACTAACTAGATTTAGATATGCTTGGCGAATCTAGTTTAATTTGTAACTTGTTATAATGTGGAACATTGTTATTTTCGTTGCACCAAGGACGAATATGAGACACAAGAATTCCGGCAGATACAAACAGAAGTGATGGAATTTTTTAGGATTACATCAAATAATCCAGGAGCTGTGAATCAGTAAACGTAAGTGCATCTGTTAAATATCATTGCCTATATACTTGTTGGTGACGTTTTGGCTTTTTATTGCAAAAAATGGATTTGTACCAGCACTCAGCCTGACCAACAAGAGTGATGGGCTAGTGGTTGCTATTCAGTGTGTTTTGATACTATTACCAAATTAGGCATTCAAGGATTTCCATTATTTTCCATTGTGTGCTGGTGTCCATCAAACACTTGCATATACATAGGTGCAGGAAGACTTCATTAACTGGTTATTGTCTCTTGATTTGACTTAATACACTTACTATACATTTGTTTTTTTTATTTCAGAAAAAAATGATAAAGTCGAAACCAAAGAAGAAGATTCTGAAAGATCTTGAAAAGAGTACACGTTTTCTGAATTTTTTTTTAATAAAGAGTGTTGCTTACATGTCTGCCATACCTTTTTTATGTTCCTTGTTAAGAGTAACAATGTCTATTTTCCATAGACATGTAACCTTATTGTTAACGGTTAGTGTTTTACTGAAAAGTTAAAACCATATCTTGACAGAAAATGTTATTACAACATTTCCTGAACCATAAACATTCACATGGATAAAACGTTTTCAGAAGCCTTTTGGTGGTTACTGAATTTTATAACCAAACGTTCATAGAACACACTGTTTCTGGTACCATACAAATTCATATGAATAAAACGTTTTAAAAACATGATATGTTTAGGGGATGTTTCTTCACATTTATAAATATTTTTTGATACACATATAAAATAGTATTCATTTATAAATTGTGGTACATGTTATCAAATATATATTCACCGTGGACAAGTGAAGTGAGCAACTAAACTAACGGGCAAAAGAAACGATACTATGTCGAAATCACTGATAATACAAAACGACAAGCCACCATTGTGTAAAAGGAAAGTGAATTTTAATAACAGGTGTATGGGCATGTGAATGCACATGCATGTTGCCCATGCATCTGTTATCAAAATTCACTTTCCTTTTACACAATGGTGGTTTGTCGTTTTGTAATATCAGTGATTTCGACTTGGTATCGGTTTTTTTGCCCGTTAGTTTATATTGCAGTGCCTATAATGTGACGATGTTGGGCCGCTGCAGTGCCAATAAAGTATGACGACGTTGAGCCGATGTAGGGCCGATGCAGGGCCATTGAAGTTTGCCAACGTTGGGCTGACGTCAATCCGATGAGCAAAACTTCATTGGCCCGATGATGTCGTGTGCATTATCGGCCCGACGTCGGGCTGATGTCGGGCCGATGATGGCATGCTACCTGGGAAGGAGGTTGTGGTTTAGCCTGACTGGTCAGCTGTGAGGTGGTGGTTTAGCCTGATTGGTCAACTGTAAGGTGATGTTTTAACCTGATTGGTCAACTGTAAGGTGATGGTTTAGCTTGATTGGTCAACTGTGAGGTGATGGTTTAGCCTGATTGGTCAACTGTAAGGTGATGGTTTAGCCTGATTGGTCAACTGTAAGGTGATGGTTTAGCTTGATTGGTCAACTGTGAGGTGATGGTTTAGCCTGATTGGTCAACAGTGAGGTTGTGGTCTTGCCTGATTGGTCAACTGTTAGGTGATGGTTTAACCTGATTGGTCAACTGTAAGGTGATGGTTTAACCTGATTGGTCAACTGTAAGGTGGTGGTTTAGCTTGATTGGTCAACTGTGAGGTGATGGTTTAGTCTGATTGGTCAACTATGAAGTGGTGGTTCAGCCATATTGGTCAACTGTGAGGTGGTGTTAGAGGCTGTTTGATCAACTGTTAGGTGGTGGTTCAGCCTGATTGTCTGACATCCTGACCTTTCACCCCTCCTGAATTTTTCGTTTGAGTCATGCAGTTTAATGAAATCTACCTGTCTCTGGAGACTATTTCTCACACAAAACAACATTTTTCAGTTATTTAAAATTTGCTTTCATTCTTCTCTGAGCTACATATTTAACTGAAACTTTACTAATACAGAAAGCTGTGAGTAAGTTTTCCAAATAAATCCTTAAAACTTGTCCATATTGATGTTTCATTTGGAACATTTAATACCCAATAAATACCAAATGTATTCATCTCTTACTACGAAACACATACATACTTATGTTCAGGATTACAAATTCAGAGTTTTGTAATTATGGCAACAAAATGCCCTTCAGATACAACACCTGGATCGACTTTCTGTCTTGTTTTGTCAGCTATGTGTAGCACATCAAAAGAATTGGATGAAGATAATAGCAACTTCTGCTAAGCGTCTACGTTGACATTGTTATATCAGGGTGAGCAACTGCTGTGACATGAACTGTTTCGAGATTAAATAGCATTTTAAATTCCATTACATTTCAGATTGGACAAGGTTTATACCCACCAACAGAGGCTCTAAATGCTATACCTGGCCTTGATGACTGTCTCAAGGATGTCCTCATTGCCATGGTTACTTCAGGTGTGGCAGGGCAGTCAACTGCAGACGAAATTCTGCGATCTCATTTCCGGAATCAGGGTAGAGGCCATTACAGATTCACGTTATATTTCCTAAACATGTGTTCTTGCCTCACTAGGTCTGTGGTGAAATGTACTCAAGATCATAACTCAGGTTCACTATGAGCATACAACAAGTAGCTTCAATGTAAAATATGCTAGAAGAGTGATCACCCCTGACTGCTGTGTAATGGCCGCTAGTGTTGGGAATTGGTTAAAATCTCATAATTGATGATTGGTTTTATTACTACCGATCAATCATCGAAAATAATTGTTTAGCGTCATTTATGAAATTTGTTAATGCACATAAAAATAAGGGAAAAAAACATGTAGTTCTTTTGTTTTTTTGGGGGGCAAAATTTCACATCTTGAAAGGATGACTAGTATGATAGGAACATAAATTTCTTAGAATCATTAAGATAAATGTAATCATGACTTGAAACGAGCTTGTAGTGCTTACGAAATGTAACAGACAAAACCAACCATGTGAAAAATATTGTTAATGAAAACATGTGTTCCAGAATTGTTTGTGTTCGATTATGAGAAATTTTGATCGATTCCTTGGTCGTTTAGCCACTACGACCAATCTTCGATTATTTCAATTAATCGGACCACCACTAGTGGCCGCACGACAGACCATATGGTTCTGAATAAAGGACCTTTTAGACAGAAGTCCTATTGACCCTTTAAGATCCGGGTTAGAATTGGTCTCCTGCAACACATGCTTGTTGTAAAAGGGAACTAACGGGATCGGGTGGTCAGGGCCCCGTTCCTCAAAGCGATCGTAGCGCTAAGATGATTGTAACTCCCATACTTTAACATAGACTTACGACTGTTGTAGCGCTACGATCGCTTTGAGGAACGGGGCCCAGGCTCGCTGACTTGGTTGACACATGGCACTGTTTCCCAGAATGATGCTCATGCTGTTGATCACTGGATTGTCTGATCCAGATTTGAATATCTACAGACCGAGCCATATAGCTGGAATATTGCTGAGTGCAGGCGTAAAACAACGAACAAACAAACGGGTCCTATTACAGGACCTCTTGTGTGTTATTTTATATCTGTCAAATCACCAGCCGTAAACTTTGGATTCCTCCAAGCCAATAAAAACAGATGTACCTGAATATTCATGAGGATACTTCATAGTATAAAAATTAGTATATAGCTTTTAAGATGTAGGGGATTATAAGTGGTCCCCAGCAACCTGTGCTTGATGTAAGAGGTGACTTGGTGGATTGGGTGAACAGGCTTGATGGCTTGGTTCTAAAGCTTGTCCTTGTCTGTGTTTTGCACCGTTGGTCATTATTATCATGAATCCCTGGATGGATGTTACATGTGTGGGGATATATTTTATATTTCTGCCTACTTTGTAGTAATTCATATTCTTACCCAGAATGCTTCTGTGCTTCAGCACCCTTATGGTCTGATTCCTTCTTTCTACCGTCCCCTCCGGCTGTACCAGACATGAGAAGGTCAGCATGGTTAGAGGTTCAACACCAGGAATATCCCAATATTCCCAGTGAGGAAATTCTGTTGTCGGCAAGCGACCAGGTTGAGGTGACCAACGAGGAAGAAACCACCGTCGAGAGGAAATATGATGATGGCGGCTTATCTTGATAGTGGTCAATTCACCAGCACGTCAGATGGTTAGTGAAATTATGATCACTCACTGTTAACAAACGCCACTTCTGATCAGGCTTTCTGGAAGTGAGCGAATGTTGTTTTATGTAGATGTGAGCAATGTAAAAAATACAAAAAACTACACAAAACTCAAATATTCCTCTGATAGTGCTCCCTTTTGAATTCCGTTTCTGTAGTGTTAAAACTAACAGGAGTTCACAGCAAGATAATCAGTGGCCCAGCCATTGTTATTTACATTCAGGAATGGCTGTTTTAATACATTTCTGAGATTTAGAAATCTGATTAGTCTGTAACCGTGTCATTTAGGATACCATTGGGAATGCTGTTGGAATTATTCTGGAAGAATGTGTGGAACAATAATCGTTCAGTCTCCCGCTGTAAGTGATGAAATTGACACAAAACATGAACTTGTTTTTACAGATTTCTGTACTGTTGTGGTGTCAGAAGATGGAATGGAGGTATACACATTGTCTTTGCCATGGAGTGAGCTGACAAGCAAAGTGTACACAAAAATAAATGCAAAGGTAAGACTCTTCATTGCACATATTACATATAAAGTTTCAAAGATGACTTTCAAGTATTTGTACATCTGAAATTAAGGATGACATAGGCTACCTCGAAGTTCACTTCGGTTTTATCTCAATCTTAAATGCTTAAATGCTGCTTTTTTTATGCTTAAAGAACAAATAAACTTTGTTTTTTTGTACTCTTTTAACCATTACATATGAAAGATTTGTGGTTAGTTGTATGCGGAACACCAACAAATTCTTAAAAATCTTGTGGTTAATTAATACCGAGCGATTAAAAGTTGCCCAAAAGTCGCCTGCTTCACTCTCGCCTGCCAACAATACCACAGACAGGTTACGTAACTCTGTCGCCAGAGCACTGCAGTGACGTCATGTGAGGAAGTATTTTCAGTTAGTTGTAAATAAAGTGTGTAGCAAGCTCGTCATTTTGATGATTTCTTGACATCAACGAAGACATGCTGAATCGTTGCGTTGTCGTCAGTTGCTCCTAGGGGTCGGGCGATGGTTTCACCATGCACAGATTTCCACAGGACCCTGCAGTTCGTGCTAAATGGGTTATGTTGTGAGTGCGAATCGAGCGTTGTGGAAGCCTGGAGCAATATCTTACTTGTGTTCAGATCGCTTCACGAAAGTTAAAGAATCAAAACTACTTACTAGTTGTAGTAAAATATGTATATGATTGATGACCATAAAGATTTTCCATGACACAACTTGTAACATAACGATTTCTTCCTCGGAAGCGAGGTTATGGTTGAAGTGACAATAATATTGTAAGTAGTATTATTATATTGACACCCACCTCGCTTCCACGAGAGAAATTGTTATGTTATAACGCTATGTCATGCAAAATCCTATTGGCCATAAATCAAATACATATTTTACTACCAGTGGAAAGTACTGTAATCGTACTTATTTTCGCGTGGGATTAATTTTGGCGCAAAAAGATCATGTGTCAATAATCACACCAAGCGAAATATTCATGGTCAAGTCATGACAAAATTCAGACAAATACTCAAGTAGGAACAACATGCAATTTGTTTAATGCAGCCAATCAGTGATTTGACCATGTGAACAACACGTGTTCATAAACAACAAACACTACTTTATGATTTCTATGTTTAATTATTGTAAGTACTGGTATACACTCTTCCTTAATTGTTGTCAGTTAATCTCGCATATGGGACAGGTGTTGTCATGTTGACACAAGTATAACCCCACCTCTCTCTCTGATTGTTTTAGTAAACACGATACAATTATGGCGGCTAGCTTTGATCATTGCATGTCTATTGGTTGTGAAAACTTTGTGATGGATACCATCACTCAGGTGTTTGAAATGTGCGAAAAAACAACTGCGCTAACAGGTCTTTGGTGAACTTTCCGCGAAAATTGCACCCCATGAAAATATGTACGATTACAGTTTTTTGGATTTTGTAACTCAGTGAAAATAAACCTAAATAGCGTTTATCCTCAGACTGGCGGATGTTCCCGACAGGGCGCCACCATTTTTGAAAATCGTGAAGTCACAGGCTAAAGTCTGTTAGAATTAATGAGATTATGGTTTGTTTTCATCAAGTTAGAAAATTAAAACTACTTTCTACTCGTAGTTAAATATGTATTTGAATCATAACCAAAAGCATTTTGCATGACACAACTTATAACATAACGATTTCTTCCACGGAAGCGAGGTGGCGGTCGAAGTGACAATACTGCGCGATAAATTTCTTGCTACATTCACGTGGTTAACGTCCACTCACCAGTATGTAGATACTAGTCAATGTACGTCTTTATATTTGGTCTTATAATCCTAATTGGTTTATTATCATACTTGTATGCATTTTGAAACTTAAAAAAGCAGGCGATCTGCTGATACGTATAGTGAATTTATAACAGGACTGTAATATCTAGACATTTTATAGTTTGCCAATGTGAATCATAATTCGCACACACACCCTAGTGCATGGTGTCTGTCTCATTACACTTCACAGCGAAAACAATGATTCTGTTGAATGCTACAACAAATGAATTAAAACAAAATGCAAATATTAAAATTAAAACAGATTAAGGTTATAGGAACAATGTCAGGCTATTACCTTGTTTGAGGAATGTATGCATCAATATCCACAAAAACGAGTGATGTGCCATTCATCTGCAGCTGTTCCAAGTGATGTGTCTTTTAACAGTCTAATATACCGAAAAGTGATATATCGTTTCAGGTATTTCACATTGGTGTATAGTCTCATTGGTCACCCAAGATAGCACACCTGGCAACTAATTGCATAATGTCCGCCATTCTTTTAAAAAAAAGTAATTTAGTTAGCCAATAATGAGCAATCAATCAATGTATTGGAGGTTAATCCTTTAAAAGAAGGACGTTGTTTTTACACAGACACTTTACGACTGAGTGTATTCAGTATAGATTAGTAAATCTACATACATAAACACTTCCTTTTGACAAATCCGCTGTGCAAGATAAAAGTAATTAATCAATCAGCGTGTTATCGGTTAATCCTTTGATCAATGTTTATAATGTTGAGTATTTACTCCAGACACAAGAAATGCCAATGGGAACCTTTGTCGGGTAATCTAAGTGGTGTTACAACTAATTATACCTGTTATAAATTGACTGACCATCAAGTGAATGATGACAAATAACATATGTAGGTTTATACCACCTAACACGGGTTACAGCAAGGCAGTATTAATTGCTGTATTGCATGTGAAAAGTTATGGGCTGACACTGTTTTGAGAATAAGAACAGAACTTCATTGTTGCATAAGAAATACATATAAGCATTTGCTGTGTGCTAAAACTGTATGTACCTATTTACCTGAGTAAATTTTCAGATTCTTCTAGCAATGGCAAAGTAGGGTTGTTTAGTTTACGGATTCAAATAAATCAAATGTCAATTTTTGATATCATACGTACTAGACGTCATATTTTTACATGACAAGATTAAATATCGAGGTAAAAAAAACACAGAAATGGGATCAATTTGGATCAGTCATTATACCATCCAGGTATTAGAAAACCTGAAAAAGCCCACACTGCTTTGATACTTTATTACAATCAGACAAGAACTATCGGGGATGTTTTCAAATAACTGCATCTGATGGGCATCCACCCTTCTTTATGCTGCACTGTTTAGGTTGAAGAAATTAACCGTAACCGTGATGAGCGAGGCTGATCATCGCTTTCACTATCACTAGCGTCTGGCTTGAACAAATAAGGCCTAGCGACACCAAGCGATTTAGACAGAATCGTCTATGAAAACAAGTTGTAACTTGGAAACTAGGCAAAGCAGGAGACAAAATTAAATGACAGTAGATTGTGAGAACATATTGCTTTCATTTTGTACAACAGTTGTCACGATTTCAGGTTCATACAAACCTGTACACAAGATAATTTACCCCCTGAAATGTAGATGAATTCTGCATCGGCCCTCATATCTATTCCTCACATGACGTCACAGAGACGCGCTGCTCTGATTGGTTGAAATTTCGTTTGTGGGTGAGAATTGTGCACTGTTGTCAAAAAGGTCGATTTAAGTTAATTAAAGATCAGAGTGAGTAGTTTTAATGACAGGGTTTCATTTATAGCGATGCCAATTAGCGATTATGTATTTGTACCCCCCTAGAGTAAATGTGATCTTTAAATTTGAATACTGCAACTGAGTATTTTATTCAGCTGATTTGTCAGTTGAAGCAAAAGACATAATTGAGTTTTGGTGTTTCTGAAATAAAACAAAATGACACTGTGCAAGTTTTGATAAGAGCCAAAAAATAATTGATAATATACTCCTCACAAACCGTTAAGGAACAACAATTATTTTGTTAAAAGCATTCATTATGTATATATCTCAAATCACACAAAAAACAAATGTTCAGGAATTGAGAAGTTTTTTCATCTGTGAAGTTTTCAGTTCCTCTTTCATAACCTACAAGGCTTGCAACATGCAGCGCTGCTTGTTTATCTATAAGAGATTGATTGTCACATTTTTTGTGCTTCCAGGTGTGTATTATATTCATTTTCTTATTTTGTACAGATGAACATATCTCAAAAATATGTTCTGCTACACAATGGGGTGGTTGTGACGTTTGATAAACATCTCAATGACCTACCAGAAACCCATCCCACCATGCCACTCCATCTAAACTTGCAAAGACTGGACACGATACAGGACCATCGACCTTCTGAATTAGGGTCAAGGTCAAGTCAGAGGTCAGGGTCAAGGACAGTTATAGAAGGAGCTGCCTACAATGGGGATGACCATGTTGTCTATGATGACTCTGTACAAGCATGTGACCAGTCATCTATGACAGGGGAAAGCGATGCCATGTTGGATAGTTCTGATTTTGCTGAAGGTCCCAGCAGTCAGAGACAGGTTCCTCCAACACTTGCCTTGACTGGGGCATTGGCTGATCCTGGAAAAGGACAAGCTGACTCAGAAAGGTTGAACCGATCGTGGGGGACATGTGCCTTTGAAGATGCCACAAAGAAAGACATTGAGATTGAGAAATCCACAGTTTCAGCTGTCATCTCTGATGAGCAATTCAAACTGTATGAAGACAATGAACATCCAGAAGAAGACGAGCTGCTGGAGGAAGTGAGTCCTGGAGACATCGATGATGAAGCTGATGACGAGGGTTCACAAAATACAGATGAAGAAAATGCTGACGATTCGGGACAGGAGAATGAGCATGAACTTTCAGATGAAGCCGGAGAAGCTCTATCTGATTTCAGGTCCACAAATATGGAAAGACAATTGTCACTTGAAGGAAAAGAGGATGCTTTGTTTCAGGGGATTGGAGAAGAAGGAGGAAGAGACAGTAATGGAGAAGGAGGAAGAGACAGTAAAGATGCAGATAGTGATGAGTCAGTGTGTGGTGACTCACGGACATCCAGTGAAGAAAACTTTTCAGAAGATGAAGGAGATGCTGGCAATGAAGAAAGTGGAGATGTTGCAGGTCCTTCATCTAGGAATCAACCAAGGATCAGTGTTGATCCAGAAGGATCAGCTTCTGAATCAGATGATAAAGTAGCAAGGGATGTTGATTCTGAAGTGAATGGATCTGAATCAGATGATAAAGTAACCAGGGATGTTGATTCTGAAGTGAATGGATCTGAATCAGATGATAAAGTATCCAGGGATGTTGATTCTGAAGTGATGGATCTCTGAATCAGATGTAAAGTAACCAGGATGATTCTGAAGTGAATGGATCTGAATCAGATGATAAAGTAACCAGGGATGTTGATTCTGAAGTGAATGGATCTGAATCAGATGAGTGATTCTGAAGTGGTGGATCTAGATCAGATGATGTTGATTCTGAAGTGAATGGATCTGAATCAGATGATAAAGTAATCCAGCGATGTTGATTCTGAAGTGAATGGATCTGAATCAGATGATAAAGTAGCAAGTGATGTTGATTCTGAAGTTAATGGATCTGAATCAGATGAAAATGATGAGGGAGGTGATTCTGGACTCACAGGTGATGCTACTGATTCTAGTTCATTCTCGGATGTTGGTGTGACAGTGACAAATGAGGCCTTTACGCCTATGAGTGAGGAGTGTGGTCCTCTGGAGGATGACGACTGACAACAGGAGTGACCCTTTCCACATCCATAACAAATCTCTGCTAAAAGCAGCGTCGACTGTATAATTGTGACTATATCATGAGTATATATTTGTTTAAGCAGTATTACAGCTGTTCGATGTTGTTTGTAAACAAATAGAGTCTGGAGCAGACAATCCAGTGATTGTCACCATGTGATGACAGAGCATGTGTTTATGAATCACTATGAAATAGTGTTTGCGAAAAGGTGAGCGTATCCTGCCCCACTGGATGCACCCGTCATAAACATATGTTAAGTCTAGTCAATTGTTCACCTGAAATAATTTGGGAACATGTGGTGTAAGTTGAAATAGGGAATTGCATCGGACATCATATTTGTCACTGATGCAGCAGTCTTGTGGTGAAGCACCAACTGCTCAATAAGGCTTCTATTCTGTACATAAAAGTAGTTTACAGGGTGAAAGATATGTCACAGCTTTGTCAGATATTCTACATCCATTTTAGTAGAGTGTATATAGTTGCCAAAACTAGGGGTAACAATGCTTTATAGTGCTTTTGTATAAACATGTTTTTGCCAGTTTTAGAGAGATTTTTCTTTTAAAAGAGCTTCATTTTATTTACAGGTATTTTTACAGTTTTTTAAAACCTTTTTACTTATGAGATGATTAGTTCACCTTACCAAAGCTTGTCTGTCCCCTGTACAAATCTTCCTTGCAAGCCAATGCACTGGTGAATCTGCTGCTTACCATGGCCACTAATAATGACAACAGAGTTTGGTTAAGATATTCTAATGCGGCACAGACATTCTTATGGCTATTTTTCAGCCATTTTTAAAATGTAATTGCATATCTGTTTATGTTTGATAAGTACTGTGACAGCTCACATTTTAGTTTCTTCGATTGAAACCTGATATGTACAATCATTCCATGACTTGATCCTTTGAGGAAATTGAACTTACCAGGAATATTCCCTTTCAGTGTTTTGTAAAGAATATTAGAAAATCAACTTCACAAAAATTACATTAATAGGTGTCATTCTGGTGTCATTGTGTACGCAAGATCTATATTGAGTAACATTAGAGGAAATTTATGAAAATTGTTAAAGAAGTATCGATGAAATATTGTTGCTTCTTTCGTACCAGTTTTTGCTGATTATTTATGCTGGAGGTATTTGTATGTCACTGCTGAGAGAAGTTTTTCTTTGTTGATAATTGCAATGTTGACTGCTCATATATAGGTGAGCTACAGGTTCCAGCACACTAAATCAGAATCACATGCTCCCTGAGCGAGCACCGTATGTAAACAGTGGAAGAGATTGAGACATATGACAGATGTGATTGGATGAATTAGTGTAAGATTTTTATGTTTGTTAAAAGCACATCCATCTAGTCATTAAAACTGACCACAATTTTAAGTGTTTAGTGCTGTCATTTTTATCACCATGACTTATGCTTATTGTGTGTACATATATTTTCCAGCAGGTGACATTTGGTGCGGAACTGGGGTTGATGTGTTCCGCTTCCTGTGCTCGCAAAATAAGCCGGACAAGTTGGCCAGATATTGTGTTTTATTGTAGTTTAAAGGCCAGAGTGTATCCATGTGTACATGGAATGGCTGTTGATAGCCTGGATAATTTAAAAAAAAATATAAGGTTACTATAGAAGTCTATGGGAAATGTTTGGTGTTGTGTAACCTGTAGTGATATGTATTTTAAATTCTTCTGATGGTTATTTGTTTGAAGGGCATCTGCTAATGTGTTTCTGGAGGAACTGCTGTGAACAGCATCTTAACTGCTTTACAATATCACATTAACCCTGAAACTGATAGCTGAAATTGTGATTAAAAAGACTTGTAATGGAATTTCGAAGACAATTTTCAGCAGGAATGAGTCTTTATGGTTGATCAACTTCTTTATTGTATATTTGATCATCCATAAGGTCTTGTCATTCCTATTGCGTACAACTTCTAGAATGCCTCTCAAACAGTTAGTTTTCAGCAAACTGACAGAAAGCAAAAAAAATTAGTGTCATGGTGATTCTTGAAGGTATGGATAAGCAATGTTGTCCGAGTTTGAATCCATGTCCATACCTGGACATAGACTGGGTTTGTTACTTGTCAACAGTCAAACTCCACTGAGTGTTTCAGTGTATATAGTGTAAGTGTATACAAGTATTGCCTTACAGTAGCAGATACATGCCTGACAATGAAGCAATGTGTGGAGCAGATTACACTTTGTGAAGATAATGATAATGAATGTTTATAAAGCACCTGTTACCAGACACTTGTGCATGATCAAAGCGATAACACATTATTACCTGGATAACCCAAGCTGTCTGTGAGGCGTTAGAAGGTTAACAGTCACATTACTTATCCCACCGGGTACCCATTCGCTGCTGGGTGAACAGAGGCAATTTAGGAACAAATCCACTTGCTTAGGATGAGACCAATATGTGTCACATATGCCTCATTATGGGTCAGAACTGAAGTACCAGAAACTCTCAGGAGTCAAGCTGCCAAACACTGTCACCCATCCAAGGACTCTCCGCTCCAAGATTGCTTAACTTCAACTGATTAGTGACCTGGGTGCCGTTCCACTAACCGATCTTAGCCCTATGCAAATCGTAAACCCCTAAAATCCCAATCTTAGCGTGACGTTACGATTGGCATACTGTTCCACTAACCAATCTTACCTAAGTCAATCGTAAAGTTAAGATTCAAAGTCTAAGTTGCTCATGACCAACTTAGGATAGCTAAAATCAATCGTAGAGAAACCAAAATGGTGGCTTTCCTATTCTATGTGAAAAATAAGAGCGAGCATTTCACCGTGAGCGTCCCCTAAAATCCCCCATGAAATGAATTTGTATATTTCTGTGATGTAAACAAACACTGCACTGAAGCCTTACAAATGTCAGGCCAGTCTGACCACTGTCTTCATGGGAACACAACCGAGGGAGTCGGTGTAACACATTTATACAACAATATTGCAGCGTCATGGTTAAGAATAGGGACAGCCATGAAGTGAACAATGTTCTGAAGCAAAAAGATACAAATATGCTTGATTTCACTGCGCATATTTGGTGGGGGATTCTAAAGGCAGGCTGCGTGTTATTCAAGACCACAGACAGATTCTACATACGCTATAGCCTCGTCACGCCTTGTTTATTCTGATTGACAAGGTTGAGGCACATATTAAAAGCTCTGACACAATTGACATTTTTAAAGTCCAGACTTAAAACCTGTTCTCAGTATATTACTTATAATCTCGGCTGTAAATATTCTCGTGTAAATTATCTGTACACAGCTTTGAGCATGCCCAAGGATGTGGAATAGGCACTATAAATATGCATTTATTATTATTATATTATGCTTGATACCCAGCGTTCACACGCACTTGCACCTGAAACCAAGGTGCTCACTACCCTAATATTTTGCTCTAGGTTTTTTCTCCACGTTTACACTTGGTTGGAAAAATACCCATGAAGGCCCGGGTTAGAATATTGAACTTCAATAACCCATGCCTGTCGTAAGAGGCCACTAACGGCATCGGGTGGTCAGGCTCGCTGACTTGGTTGACACATGTCATCGGTTCCCAACTGCGCAGATCGATGCGCATGCTGTTGATCACTGGATTGTCTGGTCCAGACTCGATTATTAATAGCTAAGATACATAGCGTTCACTAACATGAACGCTCATGTTAGTGAACACTGTGCATCTTAGCTAGATTATTTAAAGACCGCGGCCATATAGCTGGACTATTGCTGAGTGCGGCGTAAATCTAAACTCACTCACTCACTCAGTTGGTTCGTAAACTACTTTCTATCTTTTGCTAGACTATGCAAAGGGAGATAACTTGTGCCTCGCATTCCTCTATCTCTCGCACGAAAGAGTCTCGATCTAAGCTTGGATCGGATCGTAAGATCGGGACCGGCTACGATCGGTTAGTGGAACGGGTGTAACTTTTAGCTAAGACGATTGTAAAATTGGCGTAACTTGCAAAGATTGATCTTAGATAAGATCGGTTAGTGGAACGACACCCTGGGCCTAGATTTTCAAAGCTCTCTTAGCGCTAAGATAGTCGTAAGTTAATGTTAATGTATGACACGACTATCTTAGTGCTAAGAAAGCTTAAAATATCTAGGCCCTGGGCTCTGCGCAAATGACCACACAAGATAAGACAGTGTGTAGATTAGATAAGACTGTATAGAGTAGATGCGCCATCATGTTTTTGAATTTTATGAGTTGATACTGAATGGTATGGAAGTCAATGGGAAATTGAGATGTTTGACCGCATCACTCTGCCTATGGACTGTTGCCATGGCATCCAGGCATCGCTGACTAGTCCATTGCACATTCCCTGAACTAGTCTATGCAGGTTGATATCACACAAGTGCACAGTTGCAATGGATGGACCTCAGGGGAAAACTTGAATTAATCTGTGGCTTGGGAGTGTGAGCGTTCCCCCATGTAACACAAATTTATGTCCGATATTATGTTGCACATTATGCATTGAATTTATGTATTTTATGGTTTCCAAAAATGATATTGTGTTTATTGTGACTAACACTGGCTGATACCATCCTGATTGGTGTGGCCTTCATTTGATCAC